ATTGCTGTATTTTCCCTATGCTCATGCTCCACACCCCTATAAAACTCTCCATCATGGCCTAGTCTGCCATTGTTTGTTTCCATCCCAGCTCAGAGGCATCAATTTTGAACCCCTCCCCCACAACCCCAATAACTCTCTTTCATGAGATTTGTTTCATGGTGTGATTTTGTGGCATTCCTTGGGCCCCAATCACCAAGATACTCTTTGACTACAAAACATTTTCGCCTGCCTCATTGTGACCCATGTACATACAAGAATCCATGTATATACAAGACCCATGTATATACAAGATCAACGTTTTATCTCTCATAATGTAACCAGAGTTTTTAGGGCAAATACATGACCTCTTGTTGATCTACTGTGATATACCTAAAAATATACCAAGTGAAAATACAATGTGGCCGGGCGTTGGTGGTGCACGCCTTTAATCCCAGCACTTGGAGGCAGAGGCAGATGGATCTTCCTGAGTTCGAGAGTCCAGCCTGGTCTACAGAGCTAGTTCCAGAACAGGCTCCAAAAGCTACAGAGAAACCCTGTCTCGGAGAAAGAAAGAAAGAAAGAAAGAAAGAAAGAAAGAAAGAAAGAAAGAAAGAAAGAAAATACAAGATGAACAGCAGGAAGAGGGGATGATTCATTGGTGACACCATTGGGATGAGACTCTGAGTTCATCTTCAGGATAGAGTTAGGTTTAAATAGAGGAAGAACCGGGCCAGAGTCAAGGTGTATTCATAACTAAACAGGCCTGGTCTTCTTGGTCTGGTTTCACCTCAAATCCTGCAAAGTGGTCTCAAGAAGCCCTTTCATTTAAGGGAGAAAAAGTAGTTGTTGAGAAACAACTAATTCTGCTTTTATAGATAACTGTCCTTATCTGGAGTGAGGCTGAGTTGCTCTGACCCTCAAAGCTTTGTGCTTTGTGCTTTGCTCTTCCTCAAATCCAAGGTGACTCAAGAAAAAAGGTTAAGGACAATGAGATTTATCTCTGTGCCTTCAAAGTAAAGGAGGCAGACACAAAACAAAAGCAGAAATGTCAACTTTTCACCATGTTTCTAGGTGCCCTAGTGAGGAGTCATTTTTTTTTTCTTCAAAGCTGTTCCTAATGCTGTTTCACTCTTCAAGGACAAAATTTTGCAGGCCACAAAAATAAGTTTACCACCCCATGCTTCCCCTAATATATAAACTCAGTTTTGAACTGAGTTTCAAAGTTTCTTAGTTAAATATGGCTTCTGACAAGGTGCTCGGATGCAGGTGTGTTCCTCTTCTGACGCTCACATCTGATGGTTCTGATTTGTCTTGCCTTTCTACTTAACCAATAAACTCACTTTTGCCTCAGTCAGAAAGTCTTTTCTGCCAAACATCAAGGGCCTGAGTGAAACTGAAGAGCATCACCCTCACCCCTAAGCCCTCAAGGGGTCTATTATTATTATTTATTATTATTATTATTCAATTTATTCTACCCATCACGTTGAGTTATAATCCCATTTCCAGTGTCTGGAATGACCTTGCAATTAGTTTGGCTGGTGAAGTTTCATTGCACTTCCTGATGTCGTCCTCTTGTAGCAGCAGATGAAACACTCAAGGAATTGCAGGGCCCCCTTTGCAACTTGGAGCCCCCTGGGGAAAGGGAAGCATTGCCCCCTCCCCCAATTACTGAAAATCTGAAAAAGACAGCAGAATATTAAAGCTCTTCTCAGAGTATGGTTGGGCAGAAATGGATGGACCATGATGCAACTGCACAGGTCAACAGCCCTTCATAGACAGGAAATAAATCACCAAAATGATCTGATCGATATGGTTAAAGAACCAAATTCTGAATCCCAAAACCACCAAGAGACCCATTCCAATGTAAAAGCAAAGAGTCTTTTATTGTCTAATGAGTTAACTGTCTTTAACTTGGGCCCTTTGTCTGTCCAACATGGTGGCTGGTGTGAGAAGGACCCCAAGGGGCTTCTAGGTGGGGAATTTATTGGGAGGAGCAAGGGGAGTGTCCAGGAGTATGTAATGGCCTCAGGATTAGTGTACATCCAGGCTTGAACAACCTGTTCTATGTTGATTGGTTAACTGGTTGCTATGGCCTATAGGCCCTCCTAGGGTGGTTGCTATGCTCTGCATGCCACCGTTATGCCACTTTCACTATAAAGCACCATAAAGTATGCCCAAGCCCGCCCACTAACTTCCCAATGGTTCCTTGCCACATGGAGGGTATCTGACCTAGGGCAGCTCCTGCAAGATCAGAAGGCTGGAAACTAAGCACATGTGCTGAGTCCCTGGACTTTGTCTTCCTAGGTCTTCTCTGCAGCCTGTCATGGCTGCTAAAGCAGGGTGCTGGGTGAGGGTCTGGTCCTTTCAGAAGGCACTCTTCTGCTTAACTCAGGTTGAACATGTTTTCATTAGCTAATACTGCTTGAAGCAGTCACTAAAGCTTTAGCAATGAACTTTCTCCCAGCAGCAACCTTGTCCCCACATCATTTGACACTGGCCACTCTGGTTGCAAGAGAGGTCTTAATGACATATGGCTTCCCTTTCAGCTACTTCATACAATCAAACTCAAAGCAGTGCCCTCCTATTTTGTTTCTGCACAGAGGTGGGGTTAGAACAATATTAGATTTCCCTCACCATACAAGCCATAAACTTATACTCACTCCTTGCTCTCAATTCTGTGAGAGCTAAAGTTATGCTTTAAGTTTAAATTGCTGTGCCTAAGAAAGCTCTAAAATAAGCATACCCCTAACCTGTAAATCCTATTTGCCCAGGAACAGATAACTTCCTGGATTGCTGGGGCTCTTGTTCATGTAAGAGAATAAGTCATGTGTTTTCACATCTGTAAACAAGCTCGTTTGCTCCAGTTTGTACAGGATGTGCTTGGTCAAATGTAGGGAGAGGCAATAGGTGGGAAGTACTTCAGGATGTATGCTTGCCCCTGATTGGATAAAGGCGGGAAGGATGTAACCTTGTGAGTTCTGTCTTTGTACTCGTATTGTCACAACATGGTGATGTATTTTTCAGATAGCAATATAGTCAGTTCAGTGAGGATGTTCAGAGCAAATTATTTCAGATATTGCTGTGGTGTTTTCGATGAGATGCTCCCATAGTTTAGTATATTTGAATACATGGTCTCCAATTGGTGGTACTGTTAGGGTAGGTTTAGGGGGTGTGGTCTTGCTGGAAGAAGTATGTCACTGGGGGCAGGCTTTGAGAGTTGAAAGACTTGTACTATTTCTGGTTATTTCTCTCTCTCTCCTTGCACGAGGTTCAAGATGTTCTCAGCTTAGTAGTCCAGTCACCATGCCTGCCACGCTCACCACTGTGATGGTGATGGACTCTGGAACTGTAAGCCCAAATAAACCTTCTCTAAGGTACCTTGCTCGTGGTATTTTATCATAACAGTCACTAATGCAATTGCTCAGCAGAAATATTACCAGACCCAAGTTCATCTGCCCCATGCTTAAAAGCTAGTATTCAGAGAATGAGAGTTGGAAGCAAGTCAGGTTTATACACAAGTTGGTATTCTGAGAAGATGAGGGGAACTATCCCTCCCCCACAATTCCATGGTAGGGAGCTCAGGTAAATGGAAACACTTTCACAAGGAGGGAAAGAAAGTACAGGGGTTAGTGGGCAGAAAAACTACATGCTTAGTGGCACTTATGTCATCTAGGACTTGTTTTTATTCGCTCTGCTGTCACAATCAACCTTGACCTTCTGCTAGATAAAAAACTACTTTTCTGAAAATTAAATGTCACAGCAATATATATAATATATATATGTCATGTATAATTATATATCTGATATATATGAGATGTACCACAAAAATGTGTATCTATTATATACATATGTGATGTAGGTGCCACTCTTCCCTTAAGCTTACACCTGGGGCTGGAGAGATGGCTCAGAGGTTAAGAGCACTGGCTGTTCTTCCAAAGGAGCAGGATTCAACTCCCAGCACCCACATGGTGGCTCACAACCATCTATAATGAGACATAGTGTCCTTTTCTGGCCTGTAGGCAGAACAGTATATACATACATAATAAGAATGCACTGACTGCTCTTGCAGAGGTCCCGAGTTCAATTCCCAGTAACCACATGGTGGCTCACAACTATCCGTAATGGGATCTGCTGCCCTCTTATGGCTTGAAGGGATACATGCAGATAGAATACTGTATACATAATAAATAAATAAATAAATATTTTAAAACTATGTCTTTTAATAAACCATTCCTTTGCTTGCTTCATAATGTTAACCTGAAATCCCCGAAGTTATTAGTGGCAACAGAGTGGAGCTGGTCCTTCGTCCAAGCCAATCCTCGCTATCGCATAATAAAAGCAAAACATGCAATTCTAATTCAATTCAGTAGTTCGTTATTTTGCCAACTTTCAACTATTTAAAAACCATCACTTTTCATAATTGTGTATATGCACACACGTGAAATACATGCCCATCTTACATCTTCCCACTCACTTTACTGACGTCAAAGGACCCAGCACAGTAAGATTATGCTTACCATGAAACCCTCATAATGTTAAAAATCTATGCAGTCTTTAAACTAGATTCAGCTCCTAAGTTTTTAATTGCAAGCAAACAAACGCATGAAAGAAACCACACACACACACACACACAGACACAAGAGTGCAACATGACTGGAATACCCTAGAAAAGACAACCCCCTCCTTCCCCCAACTGGTTATTGGGCTCCTAAGTTTCAATAGGTGTAATACCATTAGAAAACCAAAATGGGACATGTTTATGGTATTAAAATATAAGGAATTCTTAATTTTACAACCGTTAGCTGCCTTAAACCAGCTGTAAATAGGATTTTGCCTGCATCGCAGCAGGAGTTGTTCAAAGAACCACCCTTCCTGGGCTAGAGGGCGCTCGCGCTCCCTCTGAACCACGCGCTCCTCGTGTGCAGGCGCAAGCCCCGCCCAGGCCCCGCCCTCCTCGTGCCCCGCCCCGCCCTCCCGTCATGCCCAGCGGTAGTGGCTGTGGCGGCAGCGAATGAGGCGGCGGCGACGGCATGGAGGAGGGCGAGAGCACGCTGGGGGTGCTGTCCGGCTTCGTGCTGGGCGCGCTCACCTTCCAGCATCTCAACACCGACTCAGACACGGTGAGCCGAGCGCGGCGGTCATCCCCGCCGTCCCTGCCCGCTGCTCCCGCTAAGCCGTGCGGGGTCGCGGACCCGGGCGCCCTCCCAGCCTCTCTTCTGGGCCCTTTTGATCCGGTCAAGTTCGGGCGTGAAGGGAAGCTCCCCGCGGCCCCCGGCTCGGCTCGGCGGGAGATCCGGCCGCTTCCCGCCCTCACCACGGCCCTTTGCAAGGCTTCCCTGCGCCGGTTCCTGCGGGCACCCGGGAGGCCGGGCACGGGCGCGATGGACGCGGCTGGCGGCCGCAGGGAGCTGGCCAGCCCGAGCTCGGGGCTTACGGTGGCTGGCAAGCCCGGCGAGAGACTGGCAGGCCCTGCCTCCTTTCTGCGCTGCTTTCCCTTGCAAATGAAAATTTGTCCCGGATCAGACATGTAAATGCACCTTTAAACTTTTGCCTACTTTCGAAGTCACTGAGTGAAAGTGATAAAAGAAAATTGTAAGTCTGTTTTTAAAATTTAGGAGATTAAGAATTCTCAGCACTCGGGAAGCAGAGGCAGACGGATCTGTGTGAGTTCCAGGACAGCCTGGGCTGTTAAACAGAGAAACCCTATCTCCAAAACAAACTCACTGTAAAACTTTGAGATCGGGAAGTAGTATCTTGAAAAAAAAAAAAAAAAAAAAAAAAAAAAAAAAACCTGTATACCTGCATTTTAAAAGAAAACAGGCACAGTAGCTCCTTTGGGAAACAGATGCTGAAGTTGAATCCCAAATCTTTACTATTTCATAATTTGTTACACAGATTTAAGTATGAGACCATTGATCCCTGTGTTGTTCCATAGCTTAGAAACCACTAACCTGCCCCTGTCAGGCTTAGATCCCTGTGCTAGACCTGAGGATTTACTTCCTGTCCATACATTAGATAAAGGCAAATCGCAGCTGCAGGGGGAACTCCAGGCTTCTTGGGGTTTGGTTTTAGACTTGTCAAACTGGCTACCAGCATGACCTAGGATATGGCCTTCTCTCTCTACAAATTGAGATAGGCAGGAATTGAGATAGGCAGTCCCCAGTTGTGTCTCTAGGGATGTTGAGGCCTCCCTAGACTGCAGTGATCTCTGGTGGAAATGTGGGCTAGCCCTAAAACTGTAAGTACGCCTGCTATTACATGGTTTCTTTGAGTTACCCTGGACATAGTGTCCTTCATAACAATAGGCAGGCCAGGTTTGAGCTTCAGGGTCTGGCTGGAATACAGGAACCAGCCCAGGGCAAAAACTAAACAGACTTCCAAAGTGTCAATACCTGAGAACTGGTTGAGTGGTAAGTCTCGTGTGTGTGTGTGTGTGTGTGTGTGTGTGTGTGTGTGTGTGTGTGTGTGTGTCTGTGTGTCTGTGTGTCTGTGTCTGTGTCTGTCTGCAGCATGAGCTTGCAGTGCCTGCAGAAAGAATCCAGACAAACACGGGTGCTGTCAACAGTGAGCTATCTCCCATCTCCAGAATCACTTTTACTCCTAATGTTAAAAGTCAGACTTTTAATCCTAATGTTTACTTGGCAGTTTGGGTTGCCACATTAACTCTGTAAAGATCAGTAAAGTCTTCTCATGGCACTTTAGGGGGAAAAAAAAAAGAATAGAAACCACTGACTTCTAGAAACACATGTAAAGTCCAGACTCTGGCTGCTCATTTGGGATCTTTTGTTGTGGGCTTTCCCTTTTCTTCACCACCAAGACAGACCACTCTGCTGGGCCCTTAGAAAGGCTGTAAGCTTCTCTGTTTTGGACTGTTAAGTGCTTCTACCTCTGCCTTTCCAAATGATTACCCAGCCCTTTAAAGCTAGGGCTGCCTTTCTCCGAACAGCCTTTTCCAGGTACCCATACTGTAAAATACTGAGAAGATAGGAATAAAAGACAGAACAGCAGTCCTGCCCTGTGTGTTTCATACTCTGCTTCTTATTTTTATTCTCATAGGAAGGGTTTCTTCTGGGTGAAGTGAAAGGTGAAGCCAAGAATAACATTACCGATTCACAGATGGATAATGTTAAAGTTGTTTATACAATTGGTGAGTCACTTAGTTCTTTATGGTTTTTGATAGTTTATGTGCTGAATGTAATCAGCATAAATGTCACTCTTTGTTTTGTAACATTTTAATTGTTGTGGGGGATACACATGTGTCATGCATAGCTGCTGGAGTTGTTTCTCACCTTCCTTCACGGGGGTCCCAGGGATGGAACTGAGTTGGGCAAGCTTGTCAGCAAGTTCCTTTCCCTGCTGAGCCACCTTGCCTCTGTGTGTGTGTGTGTGTGTGTGTTTGTGTGTTTAAACTATTAAAATATATACCCTAAATATGTTTTTAAAGCACTGCAAAAAAAAAAAAAAAAAAAAAAAAAAAAAAAGAGTGGGTATAGTGGTGACACTTGTATTCCCCGCACTTAGAAGGTGGAGGCAGGAGGATCAGGAGTTGGGTCCTATGTGTTTGTCTTTGGCTAGTGAATATAATGTGTACTTTCAAGTGGGTTTCCAGGTAGGATTTGTAGCCCTGTGTCTCTGGGGAGTCAGTCACCTGACCCCTCTTTGAAGAAGTAAGAGTGTTTGTCTTAGGGGTGTCTGAAGTTCCCTGTGCATAGTGAAGTTCCTGTATGAGGTGAACACAATGCAATGTGATGGGAAAACAGTTACTGCACTCATAACCTGAAATGTTTTTTTCTAGACATTCAGAAATATATTCCATGCTACCGGCTTTTTAGGTGAGTAACAGTATTAGTAAAAACAAGCAAAGTAACCATCCTGAGAATTATTCTTTGCAAGTTAAATAATTTAAAAAGCTAACAGAGTGTCTTACCAGTATACATGCAAGGAGAGTGGTTGTTTGTTTGTTTTAAGGTACATTCGTGCATAATCTGTAGTCTATATTACCTTTAGTTGGCTTCCGCTGCCTCTGAAAAACCAGTGTACTTCGAGGATTGCATTTTTCTCACACTCAGTCCTCTTATTTCATAGTATAGACTCACTACTGACATGTTCTCATATGTCAAAACAGACCTTTTTTCCATCTTTTGATTCCAGTTTATAAATCGTTTCTCTTTTTATTTCCCAGTTACATTCTTTGTATGACCTGTTTGCAGTAGCATTTCTCTAGTGAAAGTTTACCCCTCAGTTTGACAGATAGTAGCAGAATTGCTGGTGTTAATGTACTGTGTTTTACTCCTGTCTTAGTGAGAGTGCATTCATAGAAAACACAAATAATACATTTTCACCAAGCAAACAAATGTAACCATGTATAGAGTCTAAAGTCTCGTTTATTGTTTATATCAGCCACACAAGAAAACTATCTTACATTCACACACTCTTTGTATAAAATCTTTAACACTGTATGCGTTACAGGGACATAGGTAAAGAAAGGTCTGTGGTCGGGAGAGGGTGTGGCCCAGCAGCTTGGCATCTTATCTGATGAACCAGGGAAAGTTAGTCTTCCTGCAGTCTTTTTACATACAGTGGAATTCTTAGTGGAACCTCATAAAAATGATGGAAGGGTCTTCTGTACCAGCAAAAGGTTAAGAGACAATAAAAAATGAATCTATTTCTGGGTGACCACAGTAAGAACTAAGCCAATTTAGTAGTGTCTGAACTGTAGAGACCATCTAAGTAATGTCCAGGCCTTGTTGGCTCTTAAGTTGAAGGTAAAGAGGACATTAGACCACCTAAGAAATGTCCAGGCCTTGTTGGCTCTTAAGTTGAAGGTAAAGAGGACATTAGTAGAGCTATCTGGAAATACTTTTAATTCATAAAGTTACTATACCCTCCATCTTCAGTTAAAACAAGAATAGGCCAAAGCTCACGACTTAGTGGGAAACACAGAACTACTTAATGCAATGGTTCTCAATACCTAAGACCATGGGAAAACACAGGTATTTACATTATGATTCATAATGGTAATAAGATTCAGTTATGAAATAGCAACAAAAATAATTTTATGGTGGGGGGTTACTGTTGTAATTTAAGAAAAGTGCCTAAGAGAAAGATGCCATTCAACAGGGTTCAAGCAGAGGGTTTTTATTTTTTTATTTTTTTTTTAATTAGGGAAAGGGATCGTGAAAAGGGGAAAGGGAAGGGGGGAAAACTGGCCTTCAGAGACAGGAGAGAGGAAAGAGAGGGAGAGGAACAGACAAAGAGGGGGAGAGAGAGAGAGAGAGAAGGATGAGAGGTAGGCAGGGCCCTTTTGAAAGGGAACATAGTGAGTGTGCATAGGTGGTGCTCTTAGTGGCTGCAGCCATGGGCATGTCCTTCAGAACCCCAAGGACAGGCCAGTACAGTTGCCTGAACACTAACAGTTACTGTATTAAAGGGTCACAGCATTAGGAAGGTTGAGGACCACTGACTTAATGGTAGGACAAAACTAGAAGAAATGGCAATTCTCTTTAATTGTGTGTGCGTGGCATTGGGGAGCACGTTGCTAAGCTCCAGCCCCAGCCTCTGGCTTTGTAAACCTGTCATGTTGGCTCTTCCCCCCCCCCCTTGTAACTCATATAGTCAATGTATTTAAAACAAAGTCTTCTGACGACATCTCTTGAAGTCCAAGTTAGCATTAATACCCATTTGTGTAATTTACTACAAGGGTTATCAAAATATAACTCTGTGAGCTATTTTCATGAAGCCCTTTATCTGAACATGTTTACTATATGTTTAAGGGATGTGGAGAGAATAAGAGGAAGGATATACAATAGAAAGCAGGTGGTGTGGAAAGGCTTGAAATATTTTGACTGGTAATTTACAGATTGTACCAGTTCTGCACTGACTATAATATCGCTTCTCAGACTTTGCAACTGAATACACTGATTATTTGCTCCTCTTAGAAGTCTACAAGTTCAATGAAACCTAAAACTTAGTAACTTAAAAATTAGGCACTGAGGTATGAATTCTTTACTGTATATCCTTTTGGGGAGTTGAAAGACAACACAGGGTCTCTGTATGTAGATCAGGCTGGCCTAAAACTCCAGATTGTCCTGTGTCAGCCTTCAAGTGTTGGATTATAGGTATGTGCTGCCACACCTGGCTTACTATTAGCCTATGCCTATATACCCCAAGGTACTCAGTGTTCTCACATGTCTGCTGTTAGCCTATGCTTATACACCCTGTGGTACTTACTGCCTTAGACAGCAGGTTGAGAAGCTTAGAAGTGGGCCATGCTAGAGAAATTCAGCAATAAAGATCTTCCTTTTTCTCTCCTCTCTCCTCCTTTTCTTCTGCCCTATTCCTTATCTGGGGATTGATCCCAGGAACTGGGCATTGGTTTCTGGACCTGCCATGATTTCAGTCTTTATCCAAGTCACACATGTCATAGCAGATGTCCTTCAGTGAACTCAGCTACTATCCTTCAGCCCATTAAAACATTTTTAATGGAGGTTACTTGTTGTTTCCTTGTGGTCCTGGAGATTGAACCAAGGACTTTACTCCTGCCAGGTTAACCGGTAATCACAGTTGTTTATTTGAGACATTGTCTTGCTAAGTTGCTGGCTTAGACTCACTCTTGTTGCTTAAGCAGAATTGGACATCCTTTTGTCTTAACCTGCTGAGTGGTTGGGTTTATAGGCCTGTACCACCAAGCTCAGCTTAAAAATGTTGCCAATTAGAATATAGTGGGTGTAAGGATTCAGGCATCATGCTGGCCTGCCCCTGTCACCTGGCAGAATGCACTCAGTCAGGCAGTACTCTAGTCAGCCCAGGGTTCCATGAGTACTAGTCTGCAGGCAGGTGTAAAGGACCCCTTTAAAAGTCATACCCCTGCCCACTTACGCTCTTTTATGCTCTCTCTCTCTCTCTCTCTCTCTCTCTCTCTCTCTCTCTCTCTTTTGGTTGGCCACCAGCTACCCCCCTCTTCTCTCCCCTCTCTCCTCCTCTCTCCTCTTCTGTTCACGGTGCCTCTATGTCTCTTCCCTTCTCCCTCACTCTCCATTCTAAATAAACTCCTCCTTTAAGCTCTATCTGCCTGGAGTGTTATTCCCTCCACCTCGCCACCTCAGTCACCCTCACCTGCTATGCTCTCCCATGTGATCCCTTACCTTGGGACCCCACTCATTTGGAACCCTCACCCAGGACCACTCACCCCACCCCTTCCCAGCTTTTATTCTTGTAACTGTAACTAAAGAACAACAGTGGGTCAGTTTTCTGTAAATAAATATTTCCAGTATATACTTGGGGATTTTAGTTTAAAATAAACCCTATAAAATACTACAGGATTTTGTTTAGCATTCAACATTATAGAAAGGAATATTGTTCATCTTAATGCTAAAATGAAGGAAGGGTTAGGATTGAGGAGACAGTGTTAAACTACCTACCACATAAGAATGAAGACCTGGATTTGGATCCCCAGCAACCATGTAAAAGCTCCATGCATCTATAACTCTAGTGTCAGGGAGTGGGACAGGGAGAGGACAGGAAGATCCCTAGAGCTCATTGGTCACCATCTAGCTAAATCTATGAACTCCAGGTTCAGAGAGAGACCTTGTCAAGAAATTAGGGGGAGAGTGATCAAGGAAAACAACTTTTATGTGCTTATACACCTGATTACGTATGTGCACATACATAAACTGCACCCACACAGGGAAGGAACTAGGACTTGGAGTCTCTTACAGGAGGAAAAGCAAAGCTAGAAGTAAATGTTCAGACTGTTTAGAATATTCTTTCTATATCTTGGGAGTCCAACTACAGAAACCACTCGGCTAGTCCAGATTTGCTCTCCTTCCCCAGTCTCCCCAGATCCTTAAACACACAGCTTTTGGAATTAGCAATGATTAAGTTATCCTGTTGTTACTGTTCTTTGCCACTCATTTTATATTCTATTAGGGATTATCAGTTATTAATAAATGAACTGGGAATTGTCTGTATGAACTTTCTGTTTTGTTTTAGTTTAAAAGTATGACAAACTCATACCTAGAAGTTTTTCTATGGTATGTTTTTGGTTATGGACCTAAAGTTTCTACTACTTAAGTATTAATTTTTTAAAATTGTCTCTAATCTTTATTTTAGGAGTTCATAAGATAGGCAAATAGAAATGCATTTTGGTTGTATAGTATGGGTTAGGAATAACTAAAATTTAAAATGCTAATAAAATTATTCAAATTTCTAGCTTACTTGAAATCTCTTTAATTTTTGATTTTTATAGCTTTTACAATTCTTCAGGTGAAGTAAACGAACATGCACTGAAGAAAATTCTTTCAAATGTCAAAAAGGTATTACCTTTTCTTTTTTAGTACTGCTTGTACTATTTTGCAATCCTAAAAACATAGTCTTTTACAGAAGCTTTAAGTAGTATTATTCGTATTCATCAGACCATGTAAGAAGACTTGTTCTTCCCAGAAATTCAGGCAGTGTTTTCTGAAAGCAAAACAGTCATTGAAAGTATCCATCTTGGGGCTAGAGAGATGGCTCAGTGGTTAAGAGCACTGGCTGCTCTTCCAGAGGACTTGGATTCAGTTCCCAGAACCATATGGCAGCTCACAACCAGATGTAAATCCAGTCCCAGGAGATATGATCCCTTCTTCTATTGTGTATGAACACATGCATGCACATAATAGCCGGACATACAAGTGCAAAACACGCATGCATATAGAGTAAACTGGAAAAAAGGTATCCATCTTACTATTTCCTTGACTACTATGATTCATACTGACTTCTCTAGTTTATTACTTACCCACAGCCTTTTCCAGCCTGATTTATTCTAGAACATAATGCATTTCTGTTATTTTCACATAGCTGCACTTTGTCTTCTGGTCTCAAACTGCTATATTAAGTGGCTGGGACTTCAGGTGCATGTCACAGAACCTGGCTTTGTAGTTACTATTTTATATAAATGCAGAGACAGTTTCTTATACAGCAATTACATGTAAATCTGTCATGGACTTGATATTCAGATAAAAGTTATTGAACAGTCAGAATTCCTGCCCCTTTTCTGATGTATACATTTTTTTGTCTTTAAAATTTTATGTGTCTGAGAATAAAAGGTTTAATGAAAAGTTTTGGTCACTGGGGATGGTGGCACACATCTGATTTCAGAAAGTAGATTTCATACTAGAAGTTTCTTTTAGATACTGGGTGTATAAATGTTTATCCTAAGTATGTGGAAAGCCAAGATGGGAGGATTTCAAATTTGATACCCACCTAGGCAACCCAGTGAGATCCTGACACAGGCTGTGGCTGTAGCTCTGGGGATTGCCTGCCTCAAATAAGGTCCTGGGTTCAAAACTCCCCAGCACTAAAGCCCAAGACCTGACAACCTGAGATCAGTCTGTGGAAACCATATGATAAAGGGAGAAAACAGTGTGCTGTTCTTTGACACCCCCCCCCAGTGGATAGAGCACCTAGTGTACATACATGCATGTATGCACACGCACACACATACATACATACATACATACATACATAAATAGGTGTAAAAATGTTTCAAAAGGAAATGGTTGGACTTAAAAATATATATATATATTTGTGACCATCAAGATGTCTTAGTGGGAAGAGGCACCTGCTGTTAACCTGGGTGACCTGAGTTCAATCCCTTAGACTCACATGATGATAGAAAGAGGGAGAGAACTGACACTCCCAAGTTGTCCTCTGACTACCGCACTCCCGTGTCCACACACACTGCGCGCACACACGGACAGTAAATGCAATGTGTTTCTTAATTTGTCTACTAGGAAGTATACCTATAAGAGCATTTTCTTTTTTGAGACATAGCCTTACTGTGTAGCCCACTATGTTTTTGAACTTGTTATCCTCCTCAGCCTTCCAAATGCTGAGATTATGGGTGGGAGCCTCTTCCAATTTTTTTCCCTTTAATATACAAATAAATATGTAGTAATTATTTTATTGTAATTAATATTCAGTAATGAATTATTTTCCAATTTAAAAGGTATTACTGTTAATCATGAATTTTTTTGCATGCTACAGATTACAAAAACCTTTCAAATGATCTTAAAATCATTTTAACCAGCTTAACATTTACAAATCAAGTGTGTCCATAAGACATGAATGTGTTTTCAGGCAGTGATTCCTGTTATGTGAAACAGTGACATCGGTGTTTCCCTCATGTAAAGTCTGTTTTTAATGATTTTTTTTTTTTTTATGTACATTGGTGTTTTTCCTGAATGTTTATCTGTATGAGGGTGTAGGATCCCCTGGAGATAGAGTTACAAGCAGTTGTGAGCTGCCTTGTGAGTGCTGGGAACTGAACCCAGGTGCACTGGAAGAGGAGTCAGTGTTCTTGTCCACTGAGCCATCACTAACAGAAGATAGTAATTTCAGGATAGCGAATGTTTTGCTTTGTTGTTAAATTAGAGTTGCTCAGTTGGTAAGGTGCTTATCTAAAGACCTGGGTTCCACATTTTAAAAATGTGGAACATATTAAAAAAACAAAAAAAGCCAGGCATGGTAGCACATACCTGTAATCCCAGTACTAGAGAAGGGAGCAGAAGATCAGATGTTCAGGGTCATCCCTGGCTAAATATGGGGTACACAAGACAAAGTAGTAAATCAACAAGCTTTTTGGAGGGGAGGTTGTCTTGGTGTTTGAGTTCTTTGTTTTGTTTTGTTTTCTTTTTTTCTTTTGTTTTCAAGACAGGGTTTCTCTGTAGCCCTAGCCATCCTGGAACTCGTTTTTTTGTTTGTTTGTTTGTTTGTTTGTTTGTTTTGTTTTTGTTTTGTTTTTTGGGGTTTTTTTTAGAACAGGCTAGCCTTCAACTCAGAGAGATCCATATTCTTCTACCTGGGGATCAAAAGTGTGTGCCATCACTGCCTGGCAAGGTTTTTTTGTTTGTTTTTGGTTTTGTTTTCCTGCATTAAAATTGGTTGTTTTTGCTAAGTGGAAAGTAACTTAACTATGTCAGTTTGTTTCCTTTACAAAAGTTAGGTTGTTTTTGCTAAGTGGAAAGTAACTTAACTATGTCAGTTTGTTTCCTTTACAAAAGTTAGGTATATAACTAAGTATATTTTTGACTTATTATAACCCAAACTTTACCAACAGTTTGAAAAGCCATATTAAGTCCTGCAGGTTTTGCCAGGCTTAGTGGTGATGTCTTTAATCCCAGCATAGGCAGGTCTGGTTTACAGAGGTAGTTCTAGGACAGCCAGGGCTACAGAGAAATCCTGCCTCCAAATAACAGAGAGACTGGCAGGTTTTTGTTAGTTTTGTTGTATGCCTGGATATGCCACAGTCCTGTTGCCTCAGTCTCATGTGTGCTGCAGCCACTGTGTACACTGCACTTACTGCCTCAAGACCATCTGTTTATTGCTAAGCTATAAGAAGACATGTAATAACTGTAACCAACGTATATTTTATTTCTATTCTCTTCAGACTGTGGTGGGTTGGTACAAATTCCGCCGTCACTCGGATCAGATGATGACGTTTAGAGAGCAGCTGCTGCACAGAAACTTACAGACACAGCTTTCAAGCCCAGAGCTTGTTTTTCTACTGTTAACACCAAGTATAGCAACAGAAAGCTGCTCCACTCACTGCCTGGAACATGCCCTGTATAAACCTCAAAAGGGGTAAGCACTGCTTGATCCTGGCTATCTTAAGCTAATAGAAAAACCCTGTGGTGTTTTGATAGTGCCTTGTGGCTCTAAGTGTCTTCATACAGTGTTGTATAAGGTATCACAATCAGCAAAGTCAGTCTTACTAACTGTTAGTAACACATGAGAAAACAAGGGCTATGCAAGGAGATGGGAGCTCAGGGTGCAGGGATGCCTTGGACTCTGTGTTCTGGGACTGAACGTGTTACTGTCCTACTTATTGAAGTGTAGGCGGCACTCTTGATGGCCTGCCACCATGAGTCCAGGCAGTCCCCTTGGGTATTATAAATTACATTTTCTGTGACTTTAGGAATTAAGTTAAGAGTCCTCCCAATTGAGATTTACTTTATTGCTTATGGAACATAAATCTCAACACAATACCTTAAAGTTGAATATATCACTTATCTCAAACACTTAGGACTAAATAGAACCAAACACTTCATTTAGATTGTGGATTATTTGCATATACCTGCTGAGATATCTTGGGAGTGGGGCAGACTCAAGTCTAAATAAAAGGTTCATTTATACCCATAAATATAACCAAATAAATTTTTGGGGTTTTTTTTTTGAGGCCAAATTAATAACAATATTGCAAATGCTTTATTTGTTTATTTATTTATTTTGAGGCAATGTGTAGTTTTGCTATGAACCTGAAGTCTTGCTGTCCAAGTCTTCCTAGTGCTAGGATTACAGATAATAGGTTGTCATATTGGAACATGTGATTTACTGACTGTCACATGAAAGTCAGACAGGAAATTGTCATTTGGTTTTGCTATGTTTCCTTGAGACAGCCTCACCATATAAACTGAGCTGGGCAAGAAATGGATAGATAAGCCTCTCTGGCTTTGAACCCACTACCTCCCTGCCTTAGCATTTGCAGACATGCGTGAAGGTGTTTACAGGTGTTCACATTTTAAGCTATCTGTGGTGGTGCACATGTATACTCCCAGTAAGTGGAAGCAGGAGGAGTACAATTTGAGTCAGTTTAGGTTACATAATCAGATCTCTCTCAGACCTCAGAATTTTGGACTAGGGTGACCAGAGGACAGGATGCAGGATTTGTACCGGGCAGGCAGGAATGGCTCCACCACTGAGCTTCATCTTCAATAGAATTTCTTCTCCTTTTTTTTCCCCCCTCCTTTCTTTAAAGACCCTTATGGGTGTCAGGTAGGCATAATGGTACATCCCCATGACCCTATGCTCTAGTGAGAGTGGGATTATGAGTTCAAGATTATGCTTGGCTACATAGAGTTTGAAAGGAGACCATTAATCAAAACAAACAAACACATAAATAACCAGTGAAATGTCCCAACTGGTAAAATGTTCCACAAGCCTGAAGACCTGAGTTCTAGCCCCAGAACCTTCATTAGAAGAAACAAACCAGCTTCTGACACATTCCTCTGAACACAAGAACATTATAAGCATGCACAATAATAATAAATGAACAGCAACTAAGAACTCAGGTGTTACCAATATTGTTTGGCATGGCCTTTCAACTCACCACCCTTCTGAGGTAGCTTCACTTCCTTATTTACATGTATTTAGCCAGGTGAAATAGCCACTAAACTGTCTTCATACAGCTTTTTATGCTATGTACATCTTGACTTTTTGTTTTGTTTTTTGGGTCAGGGTTTCTCTGTGTATCTATCCCTGGTTGCCCTGGAATTCTCTCTGTAAACCACATCAGCCTCCAACTCTGCCTGCCTCTTGCTTCTGAGTGACGTCTTTTAAAAGCTAGTTGCTTCAGGAGCTAGAGATGGCTCAGCATTAAAAGCACTATCTGCTCTTCAGAGAACTCTAGTTCAATTCCCAGCACTCATATGACAGCTCACAACCGTCTGTAACTCCAGTTCCAGGGAGATGTTCACTTTTCTGGCACTAGTGGTACATGGATCACTTGCAGTCAAAACACTCATACGCAAAAAATAATAAAAAACAAAAAAGGAGTTGTTTCAACTTAGGTCATCTGGGAAAATTCTTGCTGAATAATAATGGGGGGTTGTTTTTATTTTGATACTGCTGGGAAAATAGCCTGTTCTGATGCTGTCCTTTTAAGCTTTGTTTTAAACTTTTATTCATCAGGCTTTTTCACAGAGTACCTTTGGTGGTTGCCAATCTGGGAATGTCTGATCAACTGGGTTATAAGACAGAGTCTGCTTCCTGTACATCCACTGGCTTCAGCAAAGCTGTGAGAACACACAGGCAAGATTTTTACTCAAACAATACAGGCTAAGTGAATCCTTGTGGAACTGGAGTATTTTCACCTTTCCATACTTCCTTTTAGACTTGTCAGCTTAAAGTTCTATGCACAAACCCAAGGAAGTCATTCTCTCTCTCTCTCTCTCTCTCTCTCTCTCTCTCTTCCTCTCTCCCCCCCCCCTCTGTCTTTTTACAGTTCTCAGTTTTTTAATGAAGATGGATCGTTAAAGGAGGTGCATAAGATAAATGAAATGTACGATGCTATACAAGAAGAATTAAGGGTAAGTACTTAGGGACTGCTTCATAGTCATTCATATCTGTAAATTGCCATGAATTATTTCACAGAAAAATTAACATTTGTTGAGTATCTGTTGTATGCCTTTGACTTCCACAGTAGAGATTACCACCTCTTGGGAAGAGCTATACAAGTTTAGTGTTGTTCTCATTATATCATGGCTATAGTTATTTATTTTCTTTCTCTTTTTATTTGAAAAATTATCTCACTGTGGAATCCTGGCTGTCCTGGAACTTGCTACATAGTAGGCCGAGCTTTCCTTGAATTTATATTCTCCTGTCTCTGCCTCTCAAATGTGCCACCAGGCCCAGCCCCCATAGTCTTTTTATAGATGAAGAGGGAAGAAAATATTTAGAAACACAAGCGTCACTACAGCATTATACTGTCTTATTGTTTCAGTCACTGTAGATTCATGAGATAGACCCCAAGTGCAGGAAAGTCGTTAGGCCAGTGTAAAGTAAATAGGAGGGGATTGAGAGTTACAGCAGAATCTGACCCCAGAGAGATGGAGAGAACAGCTGAACAGGGGGAGCCTCGGGTTGTACCATTCTATGAAAGCTTACCTGAGCATAACCCTGACTCAGAATCCTGCTCTCATCTTAGCAACACTGTGAGACAGGGTTTCTCTGTAGCTTTGGAACCTGTCCTAGAACTTGCTCTGTAGACAGGCTGGCTTTGAACTCAGAGATCCACCTGCTTCTGCCTCCCAAGTGCTGGGATTAAAGGTGTGTGCCACTACCACCCAATTCTGAAACCCTTTCTTGAAGTTAATCCGTAATTGAACAGAGTGACCCAGAGTTGCTCCATAGGTGTGTTCTAATGTCCTCCCCATGTTCAGTCATTGCTAGGAACAGTCCTTAAGGAGTGGCGCTTAAAAGCAAGCACTGTGGAGCCCAGGGTGTAGCTCAGTCAGTAGAACCCTTGCCTCGGAGAGTCTGACCCCAGCACCACATGATGGCGCACATCTGTAATTGCAGCACTAGGGAGGTAAAGGCAGGATGATCAGAAGTTCAAGGCCATCCTTGGAGTATACTAAGTCTGAGGCCAGCCTGGGATACATGAGTCTAAAACTGGAACCATCAGTCAATTTTTTTCCTCAGTTGGATATCTAAAGTCTCTTTTCATGGCAGCCATTCTTGTCAGAGCATAGTAAGGGGAAAGACAAGGGTAACACACTTTGTGTATGACTGACATTATATACTATTTTTTTAAAGACTTATTTACTTTGATGTGATTCACTTTTTTGTTTTCATGCTTTTGTGTATAGTGTATGTGTCTAGTGCCCTCAGAGGTCCAAAGAAGGCATTTGTTCCCCTGCATCTGGAGTTACAAATAGTTGTGAGCTACCATATGCGTGCTGAAACCTGACTCAGGTCCCCTTAACTGTGGTCCCCTTTACTGCTTGCCACCTCTCTAACCCCCACATACTAATTTATGCAATAAATAAACAACATAGAAACTTTAAAAGTAACACTGGGACTGTCAGCATTTCCTCCTATATATTGAAAGTAAATTTCTCCCTCATATAATACAGTCCAATTATAGTTTCCCTCACTTTACTCTTCTTAGTACCTCCCCTTCCATCCAAATCTACTCCCTTTTTGTCTCATCAGAAAACAAACAGGCAGGCCTTGGTGTCACACACCTTCAACCCTAGCATTTGGAAGGCAGATGCAGGCAGAGCTAAGTTCAAGGCCAACCTTGAAGTTCTAGGTCAACTGGGACTATAGAAAAAAACAAAATAAACAAAAACAACAACAACAACAAAACAGGCTTCTAAAGGATAATAATAAAATATAATAAAGCAGAAAATAACACATCAGAATTGGACAAAACAAACAAGGAAAAGTATCCAAGAGAAGGCACAAGAAACAGAGACGCACTCATTCTCACCAAGGGATCCCATAGAAACACTAAACTGGAGGTCATAATACATATGGAGAGGACCTGGCAGTCCTGGGCGGGCCCTATGCATGCTGCCTCAGTCTGAGTTCATATAAGCTTTGATCCTGCTGATTGAGGCCTTGGGTTCTTGGCACCCTCCATTCACTGCCTCTTCATAGAGCTCCCTGGGCCCTAACGAGGGATTTGATAGACATAAGGCCTAGTGTTCCAACGTTTGTCACTCTGCATAATGTCTGTCTGTGGGTCTGTTATGTTTCCTTCTGCTGCAGGAGGAAGCTAAGTAGCTCTGTTTGTTTATAGATAGAGTCTCACTATGTAGCCATGGCTAGCCTGGACCAGGATGAACTAGAAGTCACTGAGGTCCACCTGCCTCCCAAGTGCTGGGATTAAAGGCATTTGCTATCATATCCAGCTGAGAATGTCACCATTTTCAAGTGATTATTTTTATTTTGCCATTTTCCCCTTAACACTTAAAATACTGTGACATACTTGACAGTGAATTTGTATTGTGGTTAAAAAATAAAATCTATCATTGAACATTTTCACTTTGCCAATTAATCTTACTTTTAATGCAGCATGTTTTTAAATCTTAAATTGACAGGTAAAACTTTATCATGTAAAGCCACGTGTAATGTACACCTGCCACTCTAGCACTGTGGAGGTGGAGGCAAGAGGATCAGGAATTCAGTGTCATCCTCAGAAACACAGTAAGTTTGAGGCTAGCTTGGGCTACATGAGACCCTGTCTATAAAAGGGAAAAACCTTTAGTAAAGTGTGTGTGTTATAGAAGAGTTGTATCTAGGAAGATAACAAATGCTTATGTCAGCATTTTTGTGGTTAAAACACTCAGTCAGCATTCACTCTACATTTTCCAAGTAGATCATTTTTAGCTTTTCTCTCTCAGTGCCATATTTCTGTACTCATTTATCTTTCAGTGGACATTTAAAATGATTCTGTATATATCTGGATTATTTGAATAGTTCTGGGCAGATACCATAAAATGTATCCACTACAATGTACTTACATTCTGACCTATATTTTGAAATTAATGATGTTTGATTTAACAGTAAGAAACATCATCATATATAAACTTTTAGGTATATTTCCAAAAGGGAATTACTCGTTTCTTTTCAAACGGAAACACATAGCATCAGTTTGCTTTTCAAGTGTAGCTTCTCTTAATATATATATATATATATATATATATATATATATATATATATATATGGTCTCCCATGAGTTTCTTAAAACATAGTCACTTTTTATTTTATTTAGCATGGGTTTTCTGTTGTTGTTTTATTTGGTATTATTCCAGGTTGGCCTTGAATTCCTTATAGAGAAGGATAACCTTTATTAATTCTACTTCCAATAAATACTAGAATCACTTACACATCTCAGTTCTGTTGGGCGGGGTTCATGTTGGGACTTGAACCCAGGGCACACACATTCAAGGTAAGTGCTGTGCACTGAGCTCTATCCTCAGCCCAATACATATTTCTTTTTATTTCAAAATGAATTTTATCATATTTCTGTTTTTAAGAAAATAACTGGTCCACAAATAAATGGAAAGCTAACATATCCAACAAACATGTTGCTATCTACAGAGCAACATCAAGTGCTTGATATTAAGGTGGTTTACACAAAAGGTTAATGGTATCTTATAGTCTGAGGATTTTTTTTTTTTAATGTTCTAAGTCCGCATTAGTACAAAACCTAGAATGTTTTTATCTGTGTCCTTATGTTACTGTGCAGAGTGTATGCCAGAAAGTTGAACAAAGTGAACGAGAGGTAGAGAAGCTAATGATGGATGTACACCGATTAAAGGAAGTTAGAAAAGAACAGCATGCACAGACAAAAGCAGCAGGTAAGCAGCAAATGAGCCCTGGATGCTGGCTTCACGTTTGCATGAGGTTCAGTGAGGACAGTCAGTGGTCCTGACCATGAACTGACGCACTGTGATTATGAGGAGTGATTCACTGCACCCCTCATTTCCCAGTGGTGAACTGTAAAACTGTAAAAAAAGCACAAGACTCGTTTTCTCATAGACTACTGTGGCATACAACAGGAACTAAGTATTATGCCTTTCTTGTCCTGAATAATCTGACTCGGAATCATTTTTACTTTATTGACACAGCTAATTATAAAATATTGTGAAACAAACACATGTTAAGTCCTTCTTTATTTTCTTTAGGAGAAAAGAATGTCCAAAACAACCCTGAGGAGAACATCCTTCTTTGTCAAGCTTTACGAACCTTTTTCCCAGAGTCTGAAGTTCTTCATTCTTGTGTTATTTCTTTGAAAAATAGACACATTTCTCAAAGTGGGTGTAACATGAAGCACCATCTCGATGTGGCTAAGCTGACTTTAATGGTGGAGTATGTTCACAGCCCTGATGCTAGTCCAACCCCTGCGGCCCAGCTAGCTAAGCGTAAGGCTCTAGACACACAAGACCCATGGCCTGTGAAGAAACCACGATCGCTGGGGACAGAAGGCAGACCTGTGACAGATTCCCGAAGCAGTCACCAAAACAGAACTTCCTCTAGCAGCCTAGATGTAGACACAGAGATGGGGAGCACAGAACAGGATGGTGAATATCCTCGCTCTCCCACGTTTTGATTCTCCTTAGATGATACTGTTGACTTGACTGAGATTCTGAGACCACTAGTTCCTATTTTTTACTGTATTCAGCTGTTTATAATGTATGAATAAGGTATTTTTACTGTTCAACCGCTTGTAATATGTAGGTAAGTTAATGTTTTATAAAGTATCTTAGAAATTCTTATTTATGTCTCATACATTGTAAATACTTTGTAAATGTGTACATGCTCACCTACACTTCAACCTCCCTCCTCATTTCCCAGCCTCTTCTCACGGTGCCTTCTGCTGGCAGTGATCTGCCTTCCCCATTCATAGATAATGTGTTCTGTCGCCTTCCTCACCCCATAGATGCTTTGTCTCCCATCTTGACTCTGTCTAGCCACATCTAAAGTACATTTTAGAAATAGAGATTTGAGAGGGGGGAGGTTTATACTTGTGGAGCAGGAACTGAATCCAGGGCCATGTCTACCATTGAACTACAATGGTAGTTCAATGGTAGAAAACCAATGGTTTTTCTTTGGGCATGGTTTTTGCTGTTGCTTTGTTTTGAGACAGGGTCTCTCTGTATAGTTCTGGCTGTCCTCAAACTCAAAAATATTTGCCTGCCAACTGTTGGGATTAAAGATGCATACATGCCACCCTCTGGACAGTAGTGGCGCACACTTTTAATCCCAGTACTCAGGAGGCAGAGGCAGGTGTCTCTCTTTGAGTTCCAGGCCAGCCTGGTCTACAGAGCTAGTTCCAGGCCAGGCTCCAAAGCCAGAGAAGCCCTGTCTCTAGAAAATAAACAAAAAAGATACCAAATAGATGCATTCTAGTTTAAAAACTAGACCATTCTTCAAATTGGAAATGAGAAACAGCACAGAAATAAAGCACAGGAGTTTGTGAGACTAGTCCTGGGACTTGGCTAAGCTGGCACAGTTATCACAATCAAGACTAACAACCTGAGTTGGATTCCTGGGACTCCCGTGATGGAAGGAAAGGACAGCCATCCACAAGTTCTTCTGACCTCCACACATATACACATATATTCACTGTGGCATATACATGAAATCCTCATAAATAAATGTTTGTGTAATCTTATTTTTACCTACTTGCGATTCTTACTGGAGAGAGCCCAGCAATTAAGAGTGCTTGGAGTACTTCCAGAGCTGGAGTTTGGTTTCCAACACCATTAGGTAGCTCACAGCCACCTGTTAACTCCAGCACAAGGGGTCCAATGCCCTCTTTCGGCTTACAAGAATGTTCTAATTTCTCTCTCTCTCTCTCTCTCTCTCTCTCTCTCTCTCTCTCACACACACACACACACACAGTATACATAGAGAAACAAACATAAAAATAAATTTTTCCCTCTGGGTGGTGGTGACACACTTTAATCCCAGCACTCAGAAGAAGGCAGGCGGATCTCTTGAGTTGGAGGCCAGCCTGGTCTATAGAGTAAATTTCAGGACACAATGAAACCTATCTTGGAAAGCCAGAAAGAATGAAATCTCTTTTAAAAAGAACAAGTCTTAATTATTTAAAACACTGACACTATGTTAAGGAGGAGTTAACCAGCATGCATCTGCATGCAGTTCCCACCTCAGGCCAGATGACTGCATGAGCACAGGAGCTGGGGGATCTGTCACCATCTCAAAAGTGCACACACACTACCTTCACATTTCAGTCACTAGACATTAGCACTGAACGCACACTTCCCCCTTGTTCTTCTTGCTGCTTCCTAGAGAAACTACTTGATACATAATTATTATATGTAGCAATAGCACTTTGGCTTGGGTATTGATAAGTTGCAGGGTGTTTCACTGGTGCTGTAGTAACCGGTACTATGCATGGCATAAAAGAGCCACAGTTGTCACTAGACCCTTGTTCTCATCACTGGTGACTGTAAGCAGATTGTGTATGCACCACTCCTTTGTGTAAGGAACACTGTTCAAGGATACACTGGTCCAGGAACAGTCTGTCTTACAGGGCCTGGTCCATTATCAATCCCACCATACACCTCTGCAAAGAGAACTCACAATCAGGTGCAATTAACATTTACTAGCTAGCAAACGGCTCCAGTAGCCCAGGAGACACCTCGGTCAACAAGTTGTCAAATAAGCTGAGGACCTGGGTTTGGAACCCAGCAACTACATTAAAATAAAGGCCAGGGCTGGGGGTTTGTAAAAAGTGCCACAAAAGTATGACAACCTGAAAGCTGGTCAAAGGGAGACAGACCAAAGAGCCAAGTGCAGTTTTGTTCTGTTTCAACCAGGCACACAGTGGTGTGCATGTGAGTACCAGGACAGGGACACAGGGAAGAGGTTCCCTGGGGCTCGTGAGTCAGCTGCTGAGCCTAAGTGAACTCCAGATTCTGTGAGAACTAGTCTCAAAACAGGTGAACGGGCCAGTGCAGTGGCTGCGTGGGTTGAGATACTTGTGCTAAGCCTGGAGACCTGGGTTCATGACCAGAATTCATGGTTGGAAGGACAGAACCAATACCTGGACAATGACTTCTGACCTCCAAATGTGCCCTCGTGGCAGGCACACACATATGAATTATATATATATATATATATCTGATATCAACTTCTATCCACAAACCCTTGTGTACACACACAACCACAAAATAACCTCAAACAAGCCCACCTCCACAGCCAGCCACTTGGTATTCAAACACTACCTTTCTATAACAATTCCCCTAAAACCATCAGTAAGAACAGAATCTGGGCTCAGGTGGATTCTAATAGAAGCCCTCCCCTTCCATAAGCAAAGGCTCTATATAAAGAAGCTTTGACAACCATGAGGTACCTAAGTGTACAATGTCACATTACCATCTCGAGCAGTGTGTCCAGAGAACGCTGGTATGGAGAGGGCATGCCCCTCCTAGTTTATTAAAGACATTTCTACTCAAATTAGTTTGAGTCAGGGCTGACATAGCCACTTCCAGGTTTATTGGCAATAACTTTACACAACTTATTCCCGGTATCTGATGTTACAAACTTTAGGGTCTTGGAGATATGCAGGATCCTTGTATGTAACTGGCATAAACCCTGTAAAGAGATAATTATAATTAAGTTCTTCACAAAGACAATGAGCAAATCTTACTAGCCCCACTCGTTTCAGCAGGTGGACTTACCCATTTTCTGAGATCTCTTAATGGCTTTTGTTATTTCTTTCTGTTTCTTTCCACAAAGACCTGTAAAAAATAGAACAGGTACTTTCCTACACATCAGGAAATGTAACACTACTCTCACAGCAGCTTTCTAAGTTGAATATTGCCAAGTTTTTTCTGTGAAGAAAGTAAAGAATCTTTTGTTGGTCATTTGCTCTCACACAACCAATTCTGTTACTGTAACTCAATGACAACCATGTGGCTCTATGTAAACAAACAAAAGACAGTTTAGATAGAGCCATCAGTTGCTGACACTTAAAAACAGATTTAGTTTCACCATCTTTAATGGGGGTAGGGTATGTGCATGTGAGTGCAGGTGCCTGCAGAAGCCAGGCACGCTGTATTCCCTGGAGCTGGAGCTAGAGATGATCATGAGCCACCTGATACGGGTGTCAGGAACCGAACTCCAGTCCTCTGCAAGAACAGTATGCATTCTTTACTGCTTGGCCACTGTCTAGACCCAAGGTACAGTTTTCCTTAAGCCAAAATTTCTATGTGTTGTCACCTGAAATGAAAAGGCAATTGCCCCTTGCACTAAGAGTCTCCTTCCTTAAGGACCTCACTCCAGTTCTTGTGGCAGCTGGCTTAATAGTGACTAAAAACTTGCCAGTCTCCTGACATAACAAAATCGATCAGTGTGGTTCTTATCTACATTTATATTTCTAAGATTAAGAAAGTACCTGTTATGTGCCTTCCGTAAATGCATCCAGTAAATGGAGAAATAAACTGGGACAAGAGCTGTTTGAAAGGGGAAAAATAATATTAATATATTTGTTATTCAACCCTGTGTATAAATTTAAAATTTTTTTATAAACGACCTTCAAGTTATATAAACATTTAATGTGTTTCACACAAAGTTAATAACATGAAATAAAATACCTTGTAGCAACAAGGCATCTTTAAAAAGTTAACATCTAGTGCATCACAACTTGACAAGACCAAGTAACATGAGTCAGCCTGTGTGTTAGGTCCCATGACTACAGACTCCTACAGGCGCTGCAGCTTACAGTCAGTTACTGGATACTTTCCCTGCCATGGCAGGCTATTGAGTGAGCTCTTAGGAGACAGACTAGGACACTTACTCTAACCTATTTCTTTCTTTGTTTTGTACTCTAATGTATTCTTATTGAACACTTTAATAACTTTGTAGACACTGTCCTTGGCTCTCCCCACAACATTGCTACATTGTAGTTTTTATAATTTATAATTTCTTTCTTCACAGGAGAATACGCTTAGCTCTAATATCATTCAATTTCCCCAAATTTGCTCCTTCTAATTTGCTGAAAGCTTAAGAGAAACAGTATTTAGAGCAATAGCACAGGATAGTGAACTGCAAAAGGTCAACTTCCCAAGAGGAACTTTGTCCAAAGCATTCATGTCTATCAATGTGCAGTGAGCTACTATGCAAAAACAAAAGGGAGAGCCAAATAATGACTGAGGGGAGCCAGGGGCTCTGAATTGAAGAGCGGTAACATAGGACATTATAACCATACTTGGTATCATGAAGTTGCTAATCTGTCCTACATAAAACCTGATGACAGTGACATGATCATCTGAGCAAATGAACCAAAAGAATAGAAAATAGTCAAGTACCACAGAGGTTAAGCAATGCTCACCTGTACATTCTTATAATCTACCCGTTTCTCACACAAGATACACTTCTTAGGGGGTTCCTTATAGGGGTTTTCCATTGAGATTGGCTAGGATAAAACAACAGTTTCATGATGAAAACCTGTTAAGACTGAGTCACAAAGTTAAAGCTACAGCTACACTTACAATTTCCTTACACGAGTACTGTATTTTGTGTCAGTCTGGCTGCAGAGGGATTACCTCATGGAAGACTCCACACTGAAGGATCATTTCTGCAGCAAAGGACTTCAAGATAAGCGTAATAATGAAGGGATCCTTTGCTCAAATCCTGCATTTGGATTGCAGATGACCATTGTTTTAGTTTATTTAAAATTAATTCAACTAAAAATTTATTTCAAGATAATTCTTTGGTATACATATGTTTAACATTTTCTCTCAGATTCATTTATTGAGAGAAAGTGTGTGTGTGTGTGTGTGTGTGTGTCTGGGTGTGTGTGATTGTACTTCTACAGCTCTCACTCAACCTGCTCTCCTTTCTTGCTGGTCCCCTTCATTCCCTTTTCTGCTTTTAAAGCAGGACTAACACTACATATGTATCCCATGACCCTCTTTTGTCCCATTACCCTTTGAAATTCTTCTTTGCTTGTCACAGTTGCTTTTTATGTCCCTGTTCCATGTTTGTTTGCTTGGTTGTTTTTTCGAGACAGGGTTTCTCTGTGGCTTTGGAGGCTGTCCTGGAACTAGCTTTTGTAGACCAGACTGGCCTTGAACTCAGAGATCTACCTGCCTCTGCCTCCCGAGTGCTGGGACTAAGGTCCTGCAACACCAAAGCCCTGCCCATGTTTGGTTTTTTTTTTGTTTGTTTGTTTGTTTACTTTGTTTTATTTCTTAAAATAGATTTTCACTATGTAGCCTCAGCTGTCTTATAACTTGCTGTGTAGCATGTGGCAGTCTCAAACTCTCCACCCTCCTGTATGAGCCTTCCAAATGCTGAAATTACAGGTTGCACCACTGCACCACCACACCCTGGCCCAGGGTCTTAATTCAGAAATTCCTTTGAAATCAACAGTCTTCCTTAATTGTGACAAATGGGTATGACTATGTTTTCTAATTTTCATTAGTCAGTGGGATTTATGACCTAAAACAGAAGAATAAATTTCCTTTATTCTTTTTAAGTATGATGTATGAATTAGATGACTAAGATAGACACACATTTGTTTAGACAAATTCCTTAGCATTTAACAGTTCCTTAAGATTTCTTTGTTTTCTTGCTTTCTTTCTTTTTTTTTTTTTTTTTTAAACATTTAATTTCAGCCAAAAGGCCAAAAAGTGATTGTTTTTGTTGTAGACCAGGGTGGCCTTGAACTCAAAAGATCTTCCTTCATCAGCATCCTAAGTGCTGTTACAATATGTGTGTACTGCCATGTCTAGCTTGCCTTGAGTTTTCTTAATACAATTTATAATCGGTTGAGATAGAAGCTGCATTCCTTCTCAACTCTAAGTGCTTTCATGCTGTGATTAGGTGCCCACATCCATGTTCATACTTTAAACCCATAAAAATACACCTACAGTTTAGAAGCATCTCATTAAATGTCCTAAAGTAAATTTAGTTGAAGGCAGAGTCAGGTGGATCTCTGTGAGTTTGAGGCCAGCCTGGTCTACAGATGGATTTCCAGGACAGCCAAGGCTATAAAGAGAAACCCTGTCTCAAACAAAACAAGACAAAACAACTTTAATTTGTGTCTCTTATCAAGGTAACATGTCAAAACTGATAAATTAGATAAAGATAGTGCTGCACCAAAATTCCACCATCTACAATTATTCTATCTACCCAAGCTGTCTTTAGAAATTCTCAAATCATGTATCCTTCAATATCTAGGAAGAAAAACATGGTTATTACCAAGCCTGAATCTAGGAATTCTTTTCAAAACCCAAGTGACTACAGTCAGTAAGTTAAACTTCCCAAACTCCAAAAAAATATATTATTTTGTTCTAGAATTGAATTCCAAATAGCTAATATTAGGCTGAATTTGGAAGTGGCTTAGTAACATAAGGGGGGAAAGTCTGGGGTTGGATAGGTGTCTGTGGTTAAAAGTGCTTGATGTTGTCTTACTGAGTACAGGAGTTAGGATCCCCATGTCCAGTGGCTCAAAACCACCGCTAATTCCAGCTCCAGGGGATCTAATAGCTTCTCTGACTTACACAGCTTCCCCAACCCCAATGTCTTTAAAAACATAAAAAGAAATCTTACCAGGTCCTCATTGCTGGTTACCTGTTTATACTGTGAACAACCTCTTCTCCACAGCACTGTAATTAAACAGAAATGGCAATGACCCAACTATTTTCATTCACTCAATAACTAACAAGGACTTCATGTTTTTAAAGAGGCTACATGAATCATAATTCCTGGTATTGTGCCCAACATGGTGGTGCACACATTTAATTCCAGCACTTGGTAGGCAAGGCCAGCCTGGTCTACAGAGTGAGTAGTCTACAGAGTGAGTTCCAGGACAGCCAGCTACATTAATAATGAGCTCCTGTCTCAAAATGCAAACAAAAAACTCGCAAATATAAGGGTTTCATATTATCTTTACAAAGTGACTGGTTAACGTTCTGTTAGATTGGGACACAACAGAACTTAAAATAAGTGATTCCCTAGGCCCTGTATTAAAGGATAAATATATATATATATATATATATATATATATATATATATATATTTCCTCCCCTATAAAACCGTTCCCCTTTCTCCAAGTCGCTAGCTCGTAATGCAAATATGAACAGCAGCAACAGAAGAGCACTGCCATCCCAAAGGGAAAACTAGAAAAAGATTCGAGTCTTTGACAGAGAAGCACAGAAACAAACATCAAAAGTAAAACCTTGACTACACCTCCCAGTCCTCTTCAGCTCTGAGAAACCAGCGTAAGGCGATTCGAGCTTGCCCCCCCCCCCCACCTTAAACCTAGTCGTGTAGCAACAGTTACTTTGCTAACAGCAAAGGCGCCATCGAGCACCAGAATCGGGCTGCGGCTGTAGGGCTCTGCCGCAGACTTTACCGGCGTGAGCTCCGCGATCGGAGAGGCAGACAGCAGCTGGTGTCAAGCTTTTCCTCGCTACACCAGCGTACAGGGAAACCAGAGCTGCCATGGTTCTCCGCCCTTTCTCTTCCTCCTTTTCCTGTCCCTGATCGTCCGGACAGGTCCTTCCGGATACTCTTCCCCCGGATGACTACGGGGACTCCACGCAAAGGTTCCGGGTACGGATGCGAACGGGATTTCAATGAGGCCTCAGGGCCGCACCGTTCCGTCCCCGCCCTCCCTGGGCCGGAAGTCACGTGTCACGCATCCCGCGCTGCGGAGAGAGGGAGAGCGGATGCTCGGGCACCTGCAGCCCCGGAGCGGCGGCGGTAGCTTGAGTCTGGGCGCGGGGCGGCCCGGCTCTCCGCCCTAGCCATGGAGGACGGCGGTGCGCGCATCCGCCGGCGCGTGTCTGTCCGCAAGAGGAACCGCGGCAGCCTGGAGAACCTTTGTGCGAGCCCCTGCCCGGCCGAACTCCAGCCCGCCGAGGACCTGGAGGACGAAGCGGCTGCCGGGAGCCGCCGCCGGAAAATCGGGAGCCCGGAGCCCGCCCAGGTACAGCCCCGCTGATTCCCCGTCGTCACCAAGGGCTGCGGGGCCGACCCGCGTCCGCTGCACCCTGCACAGCTGCGGGGGTCGAAACTTCCCAGGCGCACACGGTTGACAGGTTAGATAAGTAGCCTGCCTGCGTGTGCTCTTCTATCCTTGTTCTCCAATCTTGGGAGACACTGCCTTAAACCTTCTAAGTGGATGTGAAACATAGATATACACACACACAACACCCTGTCATACACACATGCATGCACACAGACACCATCCCTGTCATAAAAAGTGTTCACAGGGCAGTTAACTGGCTTGACAGACAGAAGGTCAGTCTTCGAAATGACTTGTTTCTACTTTTTATTGATGAACTATGAAGTGCTGGTTACTTTATTAAACTAGCCATATTATCTAGAATTTACAACAGTAATTGGGCCCTGGGAAGCTGAGACGCTAAAGTTCTAACTCTAATAAATACTACCTCCCAGTTTACATTTTTTCCATTCAGTAACCCCATGCCACATGGGTGTGCATATTCTTGTCAAAATTCTGAGTTCAGAACAAAAGTTGCTTGTAGGGTCTAGTGGTACAACCATGATTTTTAACAGGTCAGCCTCTACAATAGTGCCTGGGTGGGAATTATCAGAAACATCTGTTGTACTCAGAACCTATTGACATCTACCGTTCTTTCGTTCCTTAGTACAGGTTTAAGAATTAAAATCCCAGGGGCTGGAGAGATGGCCCAGTGGTTAAGAGCACTGATTGCTCTTCCAGAGGACCCGTTCAATTCCCACCACCCACATGGCAGCTCACAACTGTCTGTAACTCCAGTTCCAGGGGATCTAACACTCACATAGACAAACATGCAGGCAAGCATATAAAATTTAAAACAGTTAAACTCCCACAGTTTGGGGGGTTTGGGCTCAGCACTGGAGCCAGGGGAAAGTCCTAGGCCTTTAGCACCTAAATAAATAAATAATCTAAAATTCCAAAATCACCCCTTAGGCTAAGCTGGGGATGCAGCTGAGTTGGTAGAATGCTTACCTACCATGCACAAAGCCCTGTGTTTGATTTCCAGCACCTCATAAAACCAGGTATGGTGGTGATATACTCAGGAAATAGAGGCAGGAAGTTGAAGGCTTTGTACCTCTGCTGTATGAGATTCTGTCCTGCTGGCTAAAAACAAAAATTTTTAAAGCATCCCAGTACCTCATAATAATCCAGAAGCATTATTTAGGCAGGTCAATTCAACTTTCTGGGCTTGTTTGTTTTAAGGTTGTTGTTTGTTTTGTTTTTTGAAATCTGATCATAATAATCTGTATCCAGAGGATAATTTGTACCTTTGCTGGAACATTTTTTTATTCTCTATAATTTACAAGTATTTGTTTTCCTTTCAGGAAAATGACAGTGAAGAGGACATGTTTGGTGGCTATGATAGCTTTACAGAAAATTCCTTTTTAGCTCAAGTTGACGACCTGGAACAGAAATATATGCAATCACCTGAACTTGTTACAGACTCTGCCACCAAAGGTCTTTCTTCAGAAGGCATCAAAAACAAACTCAGTGTCGCCACCATGAGCTGCTTTACTGACTCTGAAACTACCGTGAAGAGCCAGAGTGGTCTAGATGTCCCTGCTGGACCCGAATCTGAAAATGACCTTTTATTTGATGTGCCTTCTTCTCAAATTTTATACTTTGAAAGTATGCAGAACTCATCAGGCAATTTGGGTGAAAGAGGTGGGAACTCACTTCAGTCACCAAATGAAGAACCGGCCTGCAGCCGTAAAGAGCGACCACAGCAGAGTGATGACCTTTCCAAAGTCACAGCTTCTCCAGAGCCCAACAGGAGGAAGAGTGTTACAGACCGTCTAAAGAGTGCCATGACTGGGAACGCCACGGCCCAAACACCAGTGTTTTCTCGGAGTAAACAACTCAAAGAGACTGTCCTATCTGAGGAAATCAGTGTCGCTAAGAAAGCAATTGAGTCACCGTCGGATGATCTTGGTCCTTTTTATTCTCTACCCAGCAGAGTGAGAGACCTTTATGTTCAGTTGAAAGGAATCAAAAAACTCTATGGTAATGCTTTCTATGAAGTGAAAACCAAGTTTATAATTCAAATAATAGTATAGCATTCATGCAAATCTGTGGAAGCAGGGGATTTCCTGGTTCCGTTTCTCATCTGGAATGGCCAGAATGTCAGTTGTGTTAGGCCTGCATTTCTATCATGCACTTCTTCCTTTGCCATCCTCCTTCTTAAGCCAGGCGTCCTGGCTGTGTCTCTTGCCTAAGTTGTCTTCAGTCCCCTCAATTTCTGTCCCTCGCTTAAGTTACCAAGTAAGGAGCCCAAGCCCAGACATGGTTCCAGGGCTGTTTGTGTCCTGCTGTTGATGACACCGATTAGTTTTCGTCCCCTCACACTCTGCTTCTCACTCTTCTCTTCCTTGATTAGTTCCTTTAGTGTCTCCTTGGTATTGGCTGCTTCTGAATTCTCTAACAATTTAGCTGTTTTAATTCCTTTGCTCAGAATCTTAAGTGAAAGAAATCAGCAGTAGCAGTTAAACATATTTAAAGACAGCTAAGATTTAAGTGCAAAAGGCTACAGTAATATTCATAATTATGCAGTGTTTTTCAGAAGTCCTGGGTTCTTGCATATATTCAGATAGACCATTTTAGACAGAGGGACAGCAGGTGCCATATAGTTCAGTCCATCCTCCCTCACTTTGAAATATTTCTGGAGAACGCATGAACTGTTTGGAAATGTGGATTGTCAACTCAGAAGACAGTCATGGTGAAGTAGAATGATGGGAAAATAAAGTCTAATCAGATTAAAAGAATCTAAACATTGTAGAGGGCTCTGTAGCTAAGAGTGCTTGATTCCTTCAGGACTGGGCACTGGTTCCCAGCACCCATGTGGTAGCTTACAGCCATCTGTAACTCCAGCTCCAGGGAGTTTGAGTCCCTCTTCAGACCAAAGTGGGGCTAGACATGCTTTCATGCACATAAAACAGAAGGACTTAGACATTGGAAGTTGTGAGACACATGGCTTTCGAGCTAACAGTCTGCTGCTGGGTGTAGTGTGCACTCACCCTGGCAATCCTCCCCTTAGGAGGTGAAGGTCAGGAGCACAGGTTATTCTCAGCCACATAGCAAGTTCAAGCCCAGCCTGGCCTACATGATGACCCTGTCTCAAAAAACCAAATTCTTAAAATACAATTTCTTCCCTCTGCCCTTCTCCTGCAGACTACTTTGTTCATTCTGAATTGGTTGCCAAGTGACAGGCCCTGCTTTGTCTGTTTTGCTTTTGAGCTATGTTTCTGCCTCTGAACTCTATTCCCAACGTTCATGTTTCAAGACAAGGATCTCATGTAGCACAGGCTGGCCTCAAACTCGTGATTCTCCTGCATCTGCTTCCCAAATCCTGGAAGTACAGGCATATAGCACAGTGCTCAGCTTGGACAGGACTTAGACTCAGTGTTTTATGTATCCAGCATTTCTCCTAGTATATTGGGCTTGATAGATCCCCACCTGCTAGAGTTTGTTGGCCTCTTTAACTCTGGTCTTGTTACTTAAAACAGTGCCTTATGTATTTCAAAACAAAACAAAAAAACAGGGTATAGCAAAACAGTAGTTAGACTCTTTGCCAAATACATGATAAATAAGTTGTAATGACTGTCCTTATATTGTTATCATCTAAGTAAAAACCTCAGTAAATCACTTTGTGTGAGTGCAAGCACATGTGTGCACATCGTGTGCATGTGTGAACATGTATGTGTGTCAAATGTGAATATAGTTAAGTTTGGGTATAAACATGCTGTTTGGTAACTGGTGGGTGGTACCAGTCTGAGGTACTTTATGTTTTAAATACTTCGGTTTATTTATGATCTGGAGATCAAACCTAAGGCCTTTGACATTAATCACACACTTTGCTACTGAACGAAACCTGTCAGCTTAATTTCTAAATACTTTTAAAGGAAAAGTCATTATAAGTACTTGAGAACCACTAAAACATAAGGTTGTTTGTGTCTGTTATTCAGACGTAACTTTTTTAATGCCTTATTTTGAGATGAGGCCTCACTGTGTACCCTGGTTGTCTTGGAATCCTGTTTTGACCAGGCTGGCTTTGAACTCACTGCCTGCCCTTGCTTCTCATGTGTGAGAATTAAAGGTGTACACCACAACCACTCTCAGCTTCACTTTGATTCCTAAAATAATATATCCAAGCTCTTTAAATTAGATTGGGGTGGGCTTTCTTAAACTGTATATTAAGTATGTAAATAGTTTCTGTTTTCCATTTGTTTGTTTTGTGTTCTTGGATGTGTATGTATATAGACACATGGGCCTTGGCACACATCTGGAGGTCAGAGGACAACTTATGGGATTCACTGTGTGGGTCCTTGGGATCAAACCCAGGCTGTCAGGCTTGGCAATAGGACTCTACCCACTGCACCATCTCACTGGCCCTAGGTTCCCATTCTTAAGCCAGGAATTACATACTTGCAATAACTCATTTAACTTACCCCCACCCTACCTCAAGTAGGTGTTAGACAGTGGTGTTAGATACCTCACACACACTGTCTACACTCTTTCATTGTGTCGATGGAGAACCTTGACGAAATGCTGAAGTCAACTTGCAGTTTTGTGTTTCATAAGGCTACATCACTTTTCTCACGGGCTGTCCAGTGGCAGCTTCTCCTAATGATAAAAAGGATGGTTCATCAGTAGAGAACACTCACTGACTATTCTTCCAGGGGACCCAGGGCCAAGTCCCAGCACCAGGCGTGCATATGTGTGTGTGGAGGGGGGCTAAACATACACTCACTAAATTTGCATTTTAAAGATTATTGATATACGCTATCAAATTACTTATTTCCATTATTATCATCATTTTGATCCAGGGCCTCATGGAACACAGCTAGCTATGTAGTTGAGGATAAACTTGAACTTCTGATCTTCCTATCTCCACTGCTCAGGTGCTCAAACCTGGGCCTTCATACATACTAGGTGAGCACTCTACCAACTGAACTATATTCTCAGCCTCTAAACTATTCCTAGATTGGTAGTTCTGACATAATGTCTCACACATGGTCCGCCTTCATCAATTATTTCTTACTGAATTGGGGGTGGGGAAACCCTGGGTGTGCCTGTTAATAACTGAAACCTTTTATTATGTAAATCATCCTTATTTAAAATGATAGTTGAACCATTCAAAGACCAAGTCTATTTTTTTTTTTCTTTTTATTTATTTATCTATTTTTTGGGGGTTTTCAAGACAGGGTTTCTCTGTGGTTTTGGAGCCTGTCCTGGAACTTGCTTTGTAGACCGGGCTGGCCTCAAACTCACAGAGATCCGCCTGTCTCTGCCTCCCGAATTCTGGGATCAAAAGCATGCACCACCAACACCTGGCTCTTGTGGATTTTCTTTTCTTCCTCCCTCTGTTTTTGCCTAAGAGGCTCTTGGGTAGGTGAGGGAAGTTAACCTACGTGATCTTGTAGAACACAGGAAGAATTTAGAGTGAATACATGTCCTTACACTGCCCTTCTGTATACATATTGGCCCCTTGTCCCCAGGCAGCTGCTCTCTGGAGTCTGACACCTTGTAAGGCTGACAAGGACTGAATTCAGACTTGCTGGCTGTGCACATTCAAGGTTGGGCACCAATCCTCTATGAGAAAAAAAAGAAAGAAAAATTACAAAAAAAAAAAAAAAAAAAAAGGGGGAAAGGAAACTGGGATTGGTATGGAAAATAAGATTGTTTGAAAAATTAAAAATAAATAGTTTACATGGGAAAGAAAAAAAAGAATTATATCTATCCTCATGTAGGCTGCCACACTGAGATACCCGATTTTTTCTCAGAAAAATTCTTGAAACTATTTTTTTTTTTTTTAATTTTCATTTATTTATTTATTTGGCTTTTCGAGACATGGTTTCTCCCTGTAGCTTTGGAGCCTGTCCTGGAACTAGCTCTTATAGACCAGGTTTGTCTCGAACTCACAGAGATCTGCCTGCCTCTGCCTCCCAAGTGCTGAGATTAAAGGTGTGTGCCACCAACGCCTGGCTTAACTCTTGAGACTACTGAAGAAGGAAATAATGTGCTGTTTTTCTTTAAATCCTACAGACTGGCAGCATACTTGTCTAACATTAAGTTCTGTGCAAAAAAGGAATAATTTAATATACTCCTTGCCAACAAGTGGCGGGAAAACCCTCGTGGCTGAGATTCTAATGCTACAAGAACTACTCTGCCGACAAAAAGATGTTTTAATGATTCTTCCCTATGTGGCGATCGTCCAGGAAAAGGTGTGTATATTTAAACAGCTGTTATTGTCTACTATGACACTTTAAGATCTGAAAACTAGGATAAGTGTGTTCACTTTTAACTGACTCATTCCTTTTTTAGGGTGTGCAGAAGTAACTCAGATACTCAGTTACTTTCAAATAGTAATTGCATATTGTTTTCTTTTTTACTAAGTTAGTGGATTGAACTGTATCTTAAATGTCCCATCAACATCTAGCCTGCCTTTTCAAGCAGAAATTAACTCATTATCTTGTCAGAATAAATGAGCCAATCTGATGGTATTTTTTAATATAAAAGGAGACAAATAAACTTTATTTTCATGTTATATACTTTAAAAGTTACACATATCAGGGCTGGAAAGATGGTTGAAAGCCTGGCTTCTTTTCCAGAGGCCCTAGGTGTAGTTCCCGAGAGGCTCACAACCATCTGTAACTCCAGTTCAGGGAACCCTCACCCTCTTTGACTCTCATACTGCCTGCACACAGAACACAGACAGGATGCCTATACACATGCAGACAGGATGCCTATACACATGCAGACAGGATGCCTATACACATGCAATAAGTTAATATAAATATTACATGTGTTCCTTTTGTGAAGATTATCACCATATTTTTGCAGCAGCTCCTAACAGGCATCCCTAGATTGGACCCAGTGATGGGGACAATTTTACATTGAGGAAATCCCTTTGTGTACTTTTCACTCCATCTCTTATTTATGTTTTTGTTTATTTAACTACAATTCTAGATTTCCAGTTTATCAAGTTTTGGTATAGAACTTGGTTTCTTTGTTGAAGAATATGCTGGAAGCAAAGGAAGGTTTCCTCCCACTAAAAGGAGGGAAAAGAAGTCATTGTATATCGCCACTATAGAGAAAGGGCACAACCTGGTGAATGCCTTGATTGAAACAGGAAGGATCAGCGCTCTGGGTCTGGTTGTCGTCGATGAGGTCAGTTAACAGCATATTTATTATACTAGCATACTGCTCTTATTTTCCCAGCCATGGTTTGGATCCTCTCGGTAACTAAATTAATATACAAAGAGCACAAGATGAGACATTTCATGCCAGACAGCTTAAATTTGGTCTTAGGGCATATGTTTCTTGAACTGTGAATGTGGGTGTACAGAGACATTTTATAAGAGTACATACCAAATACCAAATGTGTGAGGATGCTGCTCCAGATTTCATTAACCTAAAGCACTAAGTGTATACTATAGCTGTAGTATCCAATACGTATTCATTCTGTGCAAAACAGCCATGTTTTATATGGACAGTATATGACATTGACTTCTTTACTCCCTACTCCCACCTTTAAATCACATAGTTGCATATGATTGGTGAAGGGAACCGTGGTGCCGTCCTGGAGATGACCCTAGCAAAAGTCCTCTACACTAGCAGTGAGTATTGACTTATAGTTGAGTTCTGTGTGTAAAGTACTTAATCCTATCCCTGGGTTATATAACCCAGAGCAATGTACTTCAGGTTCATGCCTTAGCTTGTCAACTTATACATTTTTGTTGAAAGAATAGATGGGTGACACCAGGCAGTGGTAGCACACGCCTTTAATCCCAGATCTTGGGAGGCAGAGGCAGGTGGATCTCTGTGAGTTCAAGCCCAGCCTGATCTACACAACAAGTACCATGACAGCTTGTTACATGGGGAAACCCTGTCTCAAAAAAAAAAAAAAAAAAAAAAAAACAATCAGACAAACAAAAAACAAACAAAAGAATAGATGGGTGAGAACTGTGTGCATCAGCCTCCATAGCTATTTCTGTCTATAAAGTGGAGACTGTGATGGTGCTGGCTTGGTGAGATGGTCGTGAGGCTCACTGGAGAACGTATGCTGCCTTCACTGTGGCTTCACACAGCTCTAGTTAAGGTTTGCTGTCACCGTTGCCCTTAGGGCCATCACTGCCATCTTCCCAGGAGAACAGTATTCAATTTTTCTGGTTTTGTTTTATTTTTTAGAGGCAGGGTCTCACTATATAGCTCTAGCTGGCCTGGAACTTGGCTGTGTAGCTGTGTAGACCAGATGGCCCAGATGTCATAGAGAGCCTACCTCTGCTGAGATTAAGGGTGTGCACTACCATACCTGGCAAAATATATTTGAGAAATCATTTTAAGGAACTATTTTGCAATATCCGCTTGTCTTTAGATATGCATGAAATGTTCTAAACATCTCTATATTTATTGATGTGGTATTGCAGTGCTTACCATATATACAGAAAACTATAAATGTCATCTCAAAAGATCTTCATTGGCAAGGGTTAGGGATCGAGTCCAGTGTATGTGTGCCGATCATGTACTCAAATACTGAGGAACACCTCTGGCCCCCAACAACAGTTTTTTTTTTAAGTTGTGCAAATAATTGCATTTAGGTAGATCATGGCCCTATGCTTTCCTGTCACTTTCTTCCGTGCCAGATGTCCTGGGGTGAATAGATTCAGGTTCTGCCACCATCAGACTTGTATGTCAGTGAAAATGACAGGACAATGTGAAATCTCTTTCTAGGAGACAGGCTCCTGCTCTGGATACCAGGGCCTGGCTTTTTCTTGATGTCAGCATGGGAACCCCAAGGAAGTTGTGTTTCCAGTAGTTCATCATTTCAGTAGTCTGATGAGAAAGGAGGAGCATAGATGTCCCTTTAGAATGTATTCATCCTGCCAGGATGGATACACTGCTGTCATCTTTCCTCCAGGCTTCAAGTTGACTTGCACTCACAACTCTGTATTTCCAGGTTACACTTCCCTTCCAAGTAGAATCTGCTACTTGAATGTTCTATGAGCAACCAAGCTAACCTGAAGTATATTTCCTTCAAGCCCATTCTTCTGTCTGATCTTCCCATCACCATTCACCAGCAGATAGCTAAACCAGAGCCTTAGACTCTATTTGCATTTTCACATTGCTGTGTTGCCTGGACAAAAACTTCCAGGGTCCAGTGATCCTGCTACCTCAGTGTCCCAAGCGATAGGCTTTGTAATCTTGGCTTGTAAACATGTGTCAGCACGCAGTTCCTCTCATTTACCCAAGAGCCTGTTGGAGGCTCTCCCTTGTCCCTCTTCACTGACTCTGCTTGGCTGTCTCTTCCTTTCTGCCACATAACCATAAATGTCACCAAGTTCTAACTCTGCACACCTTGATCTTCATATCTTACCCCTCCAAGCCTGACTCATCTAGTGTAAACAAAAAGATCTTTACAAATGCAAACCCAATTACATGAGGCTCCTTCTAGAGCCTCATTTTCTGTATACACCCCAGTATTTCTAGAACAGCCTTTTTTTTTTTTTTTTTTTTTTTTTTTTTTTTTAATTGAGACAGGGTTTTTCTGTATAGACCTGGCTGTCCTGGAACTCACTCTGCAGACCAAATCCAAAACATTTCTGGTCCAAACATTTCGGATAAAGGACACTCAGCTTGTACCCTCATCTCTCTGCTCAGTAACCAGGGCACTCAGTCAGAACAGCACTGAAATATTGCTAAAATTACTTTAGGATGGAAATGACACATTACTCTTAATATTTTGATTTATTAGAAACAACTCAGATTATCGGCATGAGTGCAACGTTAAACAACGTCGAAGACCTACAGGAGTTCCTTAAAGCCGAATATTACACCAGTCAGTTCAGACCAGTATGTACCCAAGGTTTGCACCATATTGGTTGTTATGTATTCATCTTAGAAATAAGGGTGGCAGGCCAGGTGGTGATGAACATCTTTAATACCACCACTCGGGAGTCAGAGGCAGACAGATGTTTGTGAGTTCAAAGCCAGCTGTTATACAAAAAGAATTCCAGAATAGCCAGGTTATACAGAGAAACCCTGTCTCAAGAAAAAAGAAAAGAAAAAGAAAAGAAAGAAAAAGAAATATGGATGGTAAACATAGTGCATGTGTCCTTTGTTAAGATATATTATTAAATTTCAATCTACAAATTTATATTAATTGTGTATTTACTTTTAATTCAAGGTTGAACTAAAAGAGTACCTGAAAGTAAATGACACAATATACCAGGTAGACAGCAGAGCAGAGAATGGCATGACCTTCTCAAGGCTCCTCAACTATAAGGTATGGTGGTTTTAAACCTGTCAGTCCAGGCTCCCCTCCTTTATGCCTAGGTGTGCTGGGGTCCTGCAGCAGGTTCACATGGGCCTAGCTGGTTTGTATTAGGGGGACGGTGTCTGGTTCTCGGTTTGTTATGGATAACAGTTACTGATTAAATGCAGCTAGTTTCCTCTTTGGTTTACAGGGCTGGGAATCAAGCCAGGGCCTCTGCTGTACATACAAGACACACACTCCCACTGAGCAGTGCTGGAGATCAGGCGAGGGCCTCTCCTGCACATACAAGACATACACTCCCACTGAGCAGTGCTGGAGATCAGGGCCTGTCCTGAACATACTAGACACACTCAGCCACAGAGCTACACCTAGTCCCTAGTTCCATTTTAGCATTAGATGGTACTGGGTTTCTTCCTTTTGGCGTGTTTGTGAAGTTGGATATTTTATGATTACTGTATGAGATACTGTGTGAAAACTAGTAAAACAGGACTGTGTGTAATACCATGCCATTGTGCACACATCCTGTGTTAGTGAGCTCTTGTGTTACTTAAGAATTAGAATACTTTTTATTCAAATGACTCCTGAATTTTGAGGGTGTACTTATTAGATTGTTTGCACCTGACTAATTAATGAACCAGTAAGATGTTTCTTGGCTCCTGAACCATGAAAATTTGGAGACATATCAGGTAGATATGTCATTCATCCAGCAACAACAAAAGAATAATTTATAGTCTGTAAGTGACATAATGGTGTACAGAAGTATTTGTGTTTGCATGCTAATGGCTTACAACTGGCATAAAGGGTATTAATAAGGGAATCGTTTTATCACACCTTTAGAATTTCATGAGGTATAATCTAAATCCTTATCTTAGTTTTTGGTAAAGCAAAAGGAGCTAAGGAGATTTTAAATGATTAGCCTTTATTTCATGTCCTTTGTGTCCCTGAATGATGTTACAAATTGTCATCATTTACTGCTACTTTTTTTTCTTCTAAAAGTGTTAGGGACTCTGATTCATACTAGTAAAAGAAGTTGTCACCTGTTCGGTCCTTTGACTGTTGGTGGCATCAGCCCTCATTCCTCTCTGGGGTTTTTCTTCTGCTCCGGTGGAGGTGGGCATGTAACAGAATTATTAATAACATAAACTGTTTTCACTTCCTTAATTCTTAATTGTTCAATCCTCTTTTTAGACTAAATGTGCTCTCAAACTAAGTCTCTAGTGAATTACCTGAGAAGAAAATTGAACATCTGGTGTTTTATAGAGCTTTCATCTTTTGTTTTAATGATGAGATATGGAGAAGTTTAAAAGTCACACAGGATAATAAATATGCTTTGTGGTTGCCATCTGCATGGTTCCTTGTTTTGCAGTATTCTGATGCCCTGAGAAAGATGGATCCTGATCACTTGGTAGCATTGGTGACAGAAGTTATCCCCAACTACTCCTGCCTAGTTTTTTGTCCCAGTAAGAAGAACTGTGAAAATGTAGCAGAAATGTTATGCAAATTTTTAAGCAAGTACGTTAATCTTTTTGTAAAATAACCTGCTGTATTTTTGTCATAAGTTACAGACTGGGTAGTCCACTCTATTTGATGGATGATCACTGGTTTCTTAACAGCATTGTATTGTTAGGTTCTGAAGGGATTGATCTTAAAGGAGGCTTAACTGAAATTCACATTGAAGTAGAAAATTCTACAATTACAGGAAAGTGACCCCACAGGGGCTTAGATTTGAAGCTTTGGCTGAGCAGTGACCCAGGTTCAGCCACATCTTAGACCATTTTGCGTATCTGGGAATGGGCCTGGGCGGTCTGCACACAGCAAGGGCAGGATGACCGCTGCCATCGCTCTGAGGCCGGTCATGTCTGAAGCTCACCCTTCTCTTTGGTAACCACTGCCCTTATTTTCTTAACTTGTGTGGGCACTAGAAATAATTTCCTGTGAATTTAGAAATGCATTAGTTTGAGAGCTTGAGATGTTTTAATATGAGCTCTGCTGTGTCTACAGAGAAAGGGTAAGGCAGCTGTAAGTGCTGTAGTTGTTTTTCTTGGACCTGTTTGTTGTGTGAGGGTTTTATAATTTTTAAAACCCTGTTTGGCCACTTACCTAGGGTTCTTTCAGTAGTCATAGACTATTCACAAGGATTTTTAATCTTGTCATTCTCTACCCTCCCTCTCAACCCACACTGGCATAGACTGTCTAAATCAGAATTAAATTTACTGGATAGTACAGTGATAAAAATGTTTAGGGTATGGTCAAGAAGTTGAATTTCAGTGATTGGTAGTCTGCCTTGACAGTGATGGTTTTATTTAAAGAGAAAAAAGAAGCCAGGCATGATAGCTCAGAAGGCAGAGGCAGAAGGACTACTGTGAGTTTGAGTCCAGCTTAGTCTACATGGTAAGTTCCAGGGCAGCCAGGGTTACATAATGATGTGTACAGAACAAGAAAGCAGTATAGTGTGTAAGGAGTAAGGTTTTTCCTCCCGCTGTTGGTCTGGTCATGCCACCGCGCCAGCCCCAATTAATACACAGAGACTCTGTATTAGATATAATTCTGTTGGCCAGTTACTTGTTTCTTATCGGCTAGCTCTGTTTTAAGTATTAACCCATTTCTGCTGATCTATGTATTTCTCTTACCGGGGAGCCGGCCGGCATACTGCTTTCTCCAGACTCTCCATCTTGACCCCTCCTTACCACTTCCTCTTTCCCCTTCTTGTCTCCTAGTCCCTCCTATCTTCCTTTCCTATTGGCCAACAGTGCTTTATTCATTAACCAGTATGAGAAACATATATACATAATGACATCTCCCATCAATAGTGATTGGAGCACACGAGGAGGGGGCCGCTCCCTGGAGCATATGAAGGAGGCTCTTTGAAGCTTCCTGGATGGCTAGTCTTGATGGGCTCAGTGAACTCCGGGCTCAGTGAACTCCAGGATCAGTGAGAGATTCTGTCTTAAAAACCAAGGTGAATGGTGAGAAACACCTGACATCAGCTTCTGGCCTCCTTGTGGAGACTCATCTACACTCTTGACACAGATACAAACACATGCATACAAAATATACACAAAGAGCACTTGGTGTGCTTATAATAGTAATACATAACCAAAAAGGATGGTGACATGATATATCAAAAGAAAAATGGTGAGCACACACGCACGCACCATGAATGCCTGATGCCTTTGACATCCCCTGGAACTGGAGTTACAGGTGGTTATGAGCTGCCATGTGGGTGCTGGGAACTGAACCTGGTCCTCTGGAAAAGCCATCTCTAGTCCCAGGCTCTAGTGTCTAATGGATTTTTTTTTTTCCTAGGGACTATCTAAACCACAGAGATGAAGAAAAATCCCAAGTGATTAAAACCTTGAGGGATGTAGGCAATGGTAAAGTGTGCCCTGTCTTGAAGCACACCATCCCTTTTGGAGTTGCCTATCACCACAGTGGTCTAACTAGTGATGAACGGAAGCTTCTGGAAGAAGCCTACTGCACAGGCGTGCTCTGCCTTCTCACCTGCACATCCACCCTGGCGGCAGGGGTCAATCTACCAGCTCGCAGGTACGGCACCATCCATAGCTGGTGACATTCATAGAGCGCTTTCCTCTGCTGACCTGGTTGGTTTGTTCCCTTTGACATTTTAATGAAAAGCAAATTTCCTGGTATTACATTCCTCCCTTCTTTCTGTGCCCTCTCTTTCATGTGTTTGTCTGTCTGTCTGTCTGTTTTGAACTTGTGAAGCAGGGTCTTTGTAGCCCAGACTGAGCTGCCTCAGCCTCCTTCCTAGTGCTGTAGTCAGAGGCTGACTTGATTTGGAAAGCCAGTCAGGGGGTGGAGTTCAGTGGTTAGAACCTTGCCTGACATGTGTGAGGCCCAGAGTTCAGTCCTGTGGGGAGGGGCTGATTAAAGCCAGCTGAATGTGACAGCTTTTGTTGTTTGGTTTTGTTTTCTGTGCAGGGTTTCTCTGTGTAACCTTGGCTGGCCTGGAACACATTCTCCTGCCCCTACCTCCTGCATTCTGGGATTAAAGCCCAGGCTGAATGTAGTAACTTTTCAAGGTCAGATCCTTGGTCACCTTTTCACATAGTACCAAGCTTGTAAAACTATGTAACTGACTTTAACAAAATATTTGTGACTTTTGAAAAGCATGCTTTTCTGCTAGGTAAACTTAAGCAGTCTCAATGTCATAGTCATTAATTGTGCCGTCACCCTTTATGGTCATACTTATCTATTCATCTGTTTAGAGACAGGGTCACACTGTGTACAGTGTCTGGTCTGTAACTCACTATGTAGAACTCTGAGCACACAGAAATCCTCCTGCCCGCCTCCAAGTGCTGTGATTAAAGCCTGAACGACCACACTTAGCATGGAGCCAGTTCTTGTTTCTGTGTGCATTTGTGGTTTTCTCCTCTCCAAAGCTTTTTCTCCTTCATTTTATTAGTTTATGTTGTGGGGTAGAGCATGCATGTCCCCATGTGACTGTGGAAGTCAGAGGACAGCCTTTCAAGTCAGGAGGTTGTTGGTTGTCCCCTTTCACGTGGGAGTTCTGGAGATAGAACTCAGGTTGTCAGCCTGGGAGGCAAGTGCCTTTGTCCACAGAACTAGCCCCTCCAGCAGTTTTTAGACTTTCCCTTTAACCTTAAGTTTTCCTTGTGGTGTATAATTACACTGATTATAGTTGTATCATCCCCTCCTATTTCCACATCACCATGGCCCACCCCAGCACCTAACTGCTAAACATGCATTTATTTACTCAACCCTCACAATTTATGGCTGACATTTTATGGAGTTAAAATACATTAAAAAAAAAAAAAAAAGAAGAAGAAGAAGAAGAAAGGAAAAAGAAAACTAACCAGTTGAATGTCACATCAGGTAAATGAGTTTCAAACCCAAGGTTGGAACCCAAGCTGCCTGATTGTGTGACCCCAACAGTCCCAGCTTACCTATCTGTCAGGGCTTGGCCTTGGATGAAGGGCTTCATCTTGAGTTTATGGTTTTCTTCCTCTTAGAACTTTTGGTAGTCATATCTGTATTCTATCCTTCCCTCTTGATTGTCTTCTCTCATGACTTTGGCTTGGCTGAGGTGGAGATGTGTGGTTCGAGCTGTCTACTCTCCTTTGCATACTTTTCCTCCAGTTTTACCTTCTGTGTAAAACTCGGGTTTCTTAGTGACTTGGGAGGCAATTCAGTGGCCGAGTGCTTGCTTAACACCAAGAGAGCCTTGGTGCAAACCCCACCTAAGACTCAGAAGTAGGAGGTTAGCCCAAGTGGGAGGGGATAAGAGGATATGGAAATGGATGAATACAATGGCAATACATTTTATACATGTATGGAGTTGTCAGAATATAAAAAAAAAAAATTAGTTTTTTACTGTTCTATTAGTTATGTTCATTCATTATTTCTTTAGATTTTAAATTTCTAAGAATTCTCTTGTGTTACACTTCTTGTAGCCAAATGCTTTAATAGAGTGGCTGGGATTCCCTCTGGGATTTTCTGTGGACACTATTTACAATTTTCCACAATTCTTTACTGTTCCCTACTTTATTGTATTTTGTCATTTTTTTCCTGGGTGTTCTCATTCCTTTTTTATGTTTGTTTTTCTTCAAGTGTTCATCAGTCTAAACATTCTGTTGAGATTTATGAATGAAGAGGTTTATAATACATAGGCAATGACAGATTCCTCAGTCCCTGTGAAGAAGGAAGCTGACTACAGACTTTTTTATACCTGAACAGGGTTGAAATTGCTGTTTTGTAGACAAAACCCAATTGAAACCTGAAATGAATGCCTCACAGTTACAGATAACATCAGTTCATAAATTGGTAGCCTGTGTCTGTAGTACATGCCAAATCTTAGAGATAAAGATAACATCAGTTCATAAATTGGTAGTGTGTGGTGGTGGCACATGCCAGATCTTTCAGTTCCGGTATAAAATCAGAAAGCTTTGGAGACACTACTATAGATTGATCATAGGTCTCGCAACAACAGAGACTTGACTGCACGTGATGGTTGTGGCATTTACTAACTAACCTTGCAGCTTAAGGTAAGCCACTTACTGAACTTCAGCCGATTCCTTCTTAAGAAAAGAAAATAAGGACATTATTAAGTATTTTGTAAGAATTTCAGAAGATATACTTAAGAACCTAGAATATCAAAGATCTACTATAAGTACAGGGTTGTTTTGGTTTGGTTTGGCTTTTGGTTTTTTTGTTTGCTTGTTTTGGTTTTTGTTGTTGTTGTTGTTGTTTTCGAGGCAGGGTTTCTCTGTGGCTTTGGAGGCTGTTCTGGAACTAGCTCTTGTAGACCAGGCTGGTCTCGAACTCACAGAGATCTGCCTGCCTCTGCCACCCAAGCCCTGGGATTAAAGAAGTGCGCCACCACTGCCTGTCTGTAAGTGCAGTTTTATATAAAGCTAACCTGCCATTACATTTGATGACAGATAGATAAAATGGAATTGTGTTTTAAAAAGTAGTGTTATTGACACAGAGGACCACTTTTCATTTTCTACTGTCTATAGAGTCATCCTAAGGGCCCCCTATGTGGCTAGAGAGTTCTTACGGAGGAATCAGTATCAGCAGATGATTGGCAGGGCGGGCCGTGCTGGCATCGACACTGTTGGTGAGAGCATTCTCATAGTGCAAGAAAGGGACAAGAAACAGGTAACCTTCCATCTGACCAGACTTCTGTTGTTGCCCTGTCTGTCTTTCTTTTCTTTCTTGGTCATCAGCTTAGCCCTTACATGAAAGCATCTCTTAAAAACTAAGTACCAATGATAAATGATATATCTTCTTGTATGGTTAAGACTTAGAAAAAAGTGGTTCAAATATTTTTATTTTTCAGACAATGAAAATATTTTTCTATTATTTTATAGAACATCTGTTAATTCTTGCTCTTTTGTTTCTTGTCATTTGGTTTTGTCTTGGCTTTGGAGGCGTCTGGGGCTTCCTGGGACCTGTACAAAGTGTAAGGCCTTTATGTGGAACATTGTTTAGCTGTAGTAGCAGCACAAAACTTAATACTGTTTTATCTTTCATAGGTCCTGGAACTGATAAACGGACCCCTGGAAAATTGCTACAGCCATCTTATTGAGGGATTCAGCAAGGGAATCCAGAGTTTGTTTCTGTCTTTAATTGGTTTGAAGGTATTTTTTAAGGTCTTCTTAACTGTGACAGCTATTACCTGACATAATAGAAGTTTTCAAAAATTCAGGCAAATTATAAAATATAAAATTATGTTAGCTTCTAGTATAACATGAAAAAGAACAATGTATGACATTAAAAAAACTAATCCTGGGACTGTGGAAAGGTGACTCAGAAGTTAAGAGTGTTGGCTGCTCTTCCAGAGGACCCAGATTCAGTTCTAGGCACCCATATGGCAGCTCACAACTGTCTATAACTCCATTTCCAGTGATCCAGTACCTTCATACAGAAATATATACAGGCAAACACCAATGCTCTTCAAATAAAAATAAATTAATCTTTTTTTTTTAAATACTCTAAATTTGGGTCTTTTTACTTCTTGTGTTAGAGGAGATACAAGAAATCAGATAATTGATATCTACCAAAAGTTATTTTATAGGACACAGTATTGTGGAGCTGTGCAACAAAGGGTCTGTATATTTGACCACCCATCACCTCTGCTCACATGAAGAGAGAGGTGTGCCTGTAACCTCTGACACATACCACACCTCAGTGCTGGACGGTTGCAGCAAGCCCCAGCTCTACACACGTGAAAGGCAGCAGCTGATGCTCTCCTGAGCGATGTTACCAGCCTGTGAGGCTCTGTAGGTGAGACATAGTGCGTGTGTTTTCACCACAATATTTTTGCCTTACGATGGGTTTACTAACACAACGTCCTAGAGATCTGTACAGCCTTTATCAAGTGTGAAAAATAATGAGATTAGGAATTAGATTGTTTTTTAGGGTTATTCTTTTAGATTTATTCTTGCGTTAACTTAATTTTGCCCTTTGCACAGCCAAGTACAGTTATCCACAAAGTAGTAAAAGCCAGAGTTTGAATTAGCTTTTTCTAACTGCAAAATCACTGTTCTTAGCTCATCATATAACCTGTCCTCATTACTATGAACATAGAAGTAGAAGTGTGAAGTATAACTGATAAAAGAATGTCACAAGTTTTGGTACCTTGCAGATAAATAGTTGGTTTTTTTTTTTTTTTTTTTTTTTTTTTTTTTTTTTTTGGAGGGGGCCGATGTTTTGAGACAGAGTTTCTCTGTATTGCTTTGGAGCCTATCCTGGAAGTAGCTCTGTAGCTCAGGCTGGACTTAAACTCACAGAGATCCACCTGCCTCTGCCTCCCAAGTGCTAGGATTAAAGACATGCGCCAACACCCGGCTGCAGATAAATAGTATATTATCCTTGCAGTATCACCTGCCCACCAATAATCATGAAAGGCCAAAGGAAGAAAAAGAATTGAGGTTGAAAGAGAGACCCTAGTTAAATTCAGAAGGAAGTGATAAGCCTTCCTAGGAAAGTAGGAAGCAAGAAAAGAAAGCTCACTGTAGTAATAGTTAGCAGGCTGGATACTGTAACATTAGAGAAGGCTGTGACATGGGTAGTTAGCAGACTAGATACTGTAACATTGGAGAAGGGCTGAAGATACTGAAGAGTGGATGGTTGGATGGGAAAAGTTGCCCAATCATATGGTGTTGATTGGGGGTAGTGGGGAGCATTCTATCAGGTATGTAACAGTTGTCACAGAGACTTGGTAAAAACAAGGTTCTGATACCAGCCAAGACTTGTGACTTGCACAGTCCAAGATCAGAGGCTCAGAGGATGAAAGTGGGCATCCCTAGAGACACAGATGATGGGAAGGGAGGGAAACTCCAGGAACAGAACATAGTAGTTACATCATGAGATTCAGGGGCCTGTTTGACACCCTGATAAACACCCTATGTTTTATCTTCACTCCATGCCAAGGATTCACACCCTTGAACCAAGTATAATTTCCATTTTACAAACACTGAACTGGAGGCAGAGAGCAGTAAGCTGCTCTCAACTGTAGACCTGCACTGCATACCTGGATCCCTTGCTGAATCCTCACTTTCCTGTCTTCTGATGGTTCCCTGTTCACTACCTGGCCTACCACACCCTGCAAGTAATGCTTCACATGGAGAAATAACAGACTATGAGTGATATGCCACCCTTTCCACTTCAACTTTGTCAGTGACTTCCTATTGCTATCAAAATTGAACCAATCGTGTCCCATGATACCTTTAATCCCAGCACTTGGGAAACAGAGGTAAGAAGACCTTTGTGGGTTCCAGTCCTGCTAGGACTACATAGTAAGACTCAGTCTTTAAAAAAAAAAAAATTTAAACCCCAAACCTGGGATCATGGTCACATACCTGTAATCTCAGTCCCCAAGAAAGGAGGCAGAAAAATCAGGAGTTGAAGGCCAGCTGGGATACATGAGACCCTGATGGGGGCTGTCCTTCTGTATGCTGTGAATATATGTTTCTCTTATTGGTTGATGAATACAGCTGTTTCAGCTAATGGACAGGCAGGATGTAGCCAGGCAAGAAGTATAGGGGGGGCTACTAAACTAGGGGAATTCTGGGAAGAGGAACACAAGTCACAAGAGAAGCCATGTAGCTACCGAGGAAGCCTTTACTGGTAAGCCAATACCATGTGGATATACACAGATTAATAGTTATGGGTTAATAATTAAGAGAGAGCTAGCCCATAAGAAGCCTGAGCCATCAGCCAGTTTATAATTAATATAAGGCTCCATGTGTTTATTGGGACTAAAGGGCTGCTGGACCAGGCGGGACAGAAACTTCCATCTACAAGACCCTGAGAGGAGTGCAAAGATGACTTGGAGATTGGTAAATAAGTCAAGCAAAGATGTTCCTTGCACCTACTCTACCTGGCCTTCTGTTACATCAACTGTAATCTGTCAGGAGAGAAGCAGTGTAGAAACTGTTGCTTATTTCTATTGCTGAGATAAAAAAAACCCATGGCCCAGACTTGTAGAATAAAGAGTTTATTTGGGCTTATGGTTCTAAAGGGTGAGGGTCCATAATGGTGGAGACAGGGTACAGCCGGTGGCATACATGTCTGCTGGGAGCTGCAAGCTCACAGCTCAAACTCAAGCAGAAAACAGAGCTAGCTCCAAATGGGAATGGGGTTCGGTACTTAAACCATCCAAGCCCACCCCAATAATATACTTCCTCCAGCAAGACCTCACCCAAGCAGCACTACTAACTAGACATCAAGCATTCAAATGCCAGAGACTATGGGAACCATCTTATTCAAACCACAGAGAAGCTTAAGTATGTTAGTGATCCACAAACTGAATATCAGTTCTAGGATATCTTATAAGTACATTTGAGTAGCCGAGTGTTGGTGGTGCATGCCTTTAATCCCAGCACTTGGGAAGCAGAGGCAGGTGGATCTCTGTGAGTTCAAGACCAGCCTGGTCTACGGAGTGAGTTCCAGGACAGGCACCAAAGCAATAGAGAAACACTGTCTTGAAAAACAAAACAAAAAAAAAGTGCATTTGAGCTTGATTGAATATTACAAATGATTGCTAATAAAAGGAAAAAGAGAAACAATAGGAAAATGAATGCCCCATAAAACCTGTATTATCACTCACATTGGTTATATAAAATGACTACTTAAATATTCCCATTTAAGTATCATCAGAGTTATAAGAGAGAGGTATTGATTGACCATCTTTTAATATGCTGATTTTGGTGATTTTTATCCATCTGAATATTAAATGCAGGATATGTTAGGATTGCTCTTGTGAGTTGTAAATGATGAAGGGAGGGATACACTTTTTAGAGCTGAAGGATCGCTCACATGGGTAGGAGAAGTGGCTGAAGAGAGGATTCCATAGGGGTCTGAGTGGACCTGGGGTAACCAGCTGGAGAGGTCAAAAAGATCGCAGCTTCGGAAGTAATATAACAACTAAACCCCATTTTAGGGCTGGAGGGTGGCTCAGAGGTTAAGAGCCAGTACTGATCTTGCAGAGTATCCAAGTTCAGTTCCCAGCACCCACATTGGGTGATTTATAACCACCTGTAACTCCATCTCCAGGGGATCCAACACCTGCCCTCCACAGACACCTGTACTCACGTGTACACATTTCACCACACAACAAGAATGCAACTAAAAATAATAAAATTGAAGCTAGGTGTGGTGGTGTATGCCTTTAATCCCAGCACTCAGGATGTAGAGGCAGGAGAATATCTGTGAGTTTAAGGCCAGCTTTGTCTACATAGTTCCATGACATCCAGAGTCTACACAAAGCAAGACATAATAATAATAAAGCATTATAATGAAAAATGTGTATAAAAAGTGTGAACATGATGATGTCTTTCCCCTTCACTTTTTTTCCATTAATTTTTTTAGTTGTGTAGATTTTGTGCTAATTTTTTCTTCAGATAGCTTTAAGATATGAAAGTGAATAATCTTGTTCATTGAACTAAAGAAATTTTTCTAATGATGTCCTGAATTCTTTCAGATTGCAACAAGTCTTGATGGCATATATCAGTTTATGAGTGGTACATTTTTCGGTGTTCAGCAAAAGGTCTTATTGAAAGAAAAGAGTCTGTGGGAAATAACTGTTGACTCACTGAGCTACCTGACAGACAAAGGACTTCTTCAGAAAGAGAGCTGCGGTGACACGGAGCATTGCTTCCGTGTCACAAAACTGGGCCAAGCGTCTTTTAAGGGTAAGTCTACATAAATCCCAGTGATTTCTAAGGGAATATGTTGGAAACAATAGAAACTAAGTTTTCTTTTTTATTGAATTTGTGATTTCATATTAGACACATATCAATCTTACAAGCTACTTCAGCTTTCAAAAGATAAAATATTTTGAATTGTAGATCATTGCACAGTGTACAGAGAAAGATGGCCATGCCTCCTTCCCACTTTCCTCCCTCAACAACACAGAGCTTAAATCCTGCCATGAATAATACCTGTGTATCTTACTTCAGTTCTCGTACATGCTATAAACAGGTTTAAGTTTTAATTTTTAAATAAGTAATTTCTGTTGTTCTGGAACTTGCTTTCTGCAAGATATATATCTGAAGAAAGCGTTTGTTTATTTCTTAATGAGTATATTATAATTTATTTACTGAAATACTACATGTCTGCTCTTTAAAAAAATCTTAGGGAAACAAATCTTCGGTTAGGGAGATGCTTCAGTCAGTAAATTGATTGCTATGCAAGCATAAAGACCAACTGAGTTCAAATCCCAGCACCCACATCAACAGCCAGGCATGGCGGTATGGGTCTATGATCTCAGCAATGGGGCGGTGGAGGCAGATGGGTCCCTGGAGCTTCCTGGCAAACCAGCCCAGCCAAATCAGTAAGCTCTTGACTTAGTGAGAGTCTGTCTTAAAGTCAGTAGAGCATGACTGTCTTAAAGTCAGAAGAACCTTCCTGCATCCTCTGGCACACATGTACACACATGGGGAAACTGTCTTAAGAAGTCAGGCTTGTGTTGTCACAAGTCTCACACAAACACACACCCCGTTCCCCTTTCACTCCTCAGGGACTTCCACCATTTCCACCGCAGTACATACTCTTCCAAACACATCCACCCACCACATAACATGTCAGCCTACTCTGACCACATATGTCACAGTGATCAAAAAGATCATGTCAATGGTGGTGTTATCGATCTCTTCCGTGTTTACACACGGGCAGTGCGTCCCCAGCAGGTGGCACCTGACTGTATTTTCTACATAGATCATGTGTATATATGTACATTGTTTACTTTTTAATGGAATTGTGCTTATAAAATAGAATGAATCCAAGGCATCATGCATGTTAAACAGACACACTCTTTTGTTTTTAAAATTGGGTTTTGATAGCCCAAGTAGCCCTTGAACTTGCGTCCTGCCTCAGCCTCCAAGTAGCTGAGATTATATGTGGGCCTGTACTAAGAGCCCAGACTCACTTTCCTTTTATACTATAGTCATCCATAATAGGACTGTAGCATAAATTATTTAATTATTTCTTATTTATAAACATTTGCATTGTTTGTGATTTTTCTAATTATAAACAGCTAAATGGTTTATAAAGTGGCATCTCTATTTTGGTTACACATTGAAATGGTTTTTTTTTTTCTTTTTGATTAGATTGTCAAAATTAGAGTAGTTATATAAAAACTGTCTAAAATTTGATACATACTATTTAAGTAACCTCCAAAATCATTACAAATACGAGAATTTGAAGTTACTAGTATAGTTAGCTAACTAGTACACAAGATTTAAATTAGGACCTGAACTCCAGTGTGGTGTAGAACAAGAGACCCTGGCTGAGATCCTCTGAAAACAAGAGTAACAAGTCTTTGTATTTGTTTATTTCCAGCCTTTCAAAGTATTTGTGTTATTTTATTACAGTACTACAGGCATAAACAGACCAGTATCATAGATATCTTTGTATATTTTGTGCACATTCATGTTATTTATGTAGGAATTATTCTAATTTACAAAGCCCAAGTATTCAATGTTTTTCTTATTATGACTTTTATGTTTTATTGTCTCTTAAAACTGAGAAAACTAAGACTCTGAGAGGTTGAATATATTTGTTCAAATTCAGACTAATCCAAACTGGCCTTTGGTTCTGGGTCTCATGCAAAGCAGTCTGGCCTCAGATTGCTGGGTACTTGTGGTTGATCTTCCCCTAGCCTGCCATCGGTGTATGCCGTCCAAGTGATGGGACAAACAGGCACAGTACACCTGGCTAAGAGTAGAGGCACTCACTTCCTGAATGTGTTTGTATTTCTTTAGGAGCAATTGACTTGGCCTATTGTGACACTCTGTACAGAGACTTGAAGAAGGGTCTTGAAGGACTTGTCCTGGAAAGCCTTCTCCATCTGGTCTACCTGACAACCCCCTATGACCTTGTTGCTCAGACTGAACCTGACTGGATGGTGTACTTCAGGCAGGTGAGAAAATGGGACTTTTCAGTATAGACTACTCTGGACTTTTGTCAAGTGATTGGCTATGGCCTCTTCTCTGTTGAAACATTCGGACTTGGGCCCTTCAGCTTTCAGAATTCTTTCTCGTCTTTATTTAGACTACTGTATATTAATTGTACAAAACTATAGGTCTTACTATAATATTTGCACACATATATGTCCTTCAAGTTCTTTTAAATATTTATTTGTGTGTATATTTGTACATCATGTGTAGTCAGAGGTCAATATTAGGTGTCACTCTTCAGGAGCCATCCACCTTGGCTTTTGGTTTTTTTTGGGGGGGGGATTGTTTGTTTGTTTTGAGACAGGATCTCTCACTGGGACGTGGAGCTAGGCTGAGTGGCAAATGAGCTCCAGGGTCCACCACACCTAGCCTTTTACCTGGGTTCTCAGGGTTGAACTCAGGTCCTCATGCTTGTGTTAGAACTTTACTGAGCATCTCCCAGCTTCTCAGAGAGTATTTATTTTATAGCCAGTAATGCAGGGAGCTGGCTCTGTATGTAATAAAACCATCTGGTAAAGTAAGGTGTTATAAGTTTTTTCTCCTGTGAACAGGCTGGCTGAATGACCACTCAAGATGACAGTTGGTAAAAAAAATGGTGGCTGACTTCCCCCTAACTCCATGACTTTAAGGACTGAACCCAAGCTTTGCGTATAATAAGTGTGTGTTGTGCCTTGGAACTGCACTCAAGCCCCTAGCCTACAGCTTTCTAATGTCAGTAAATTAACTTGTATAGCATCATTTTTAGCCATTGCATGAGTCTTTGAAGTGGTGCTGAGTGACACAGTCACTTTCAAACCCTTTCCTCTTGTCTTCTTAGCTCACTCCAGTATCAAACATAAGCACAGTCCATAAAAAGTGCTTGTGACCATGTCTTCATGCACAGTGCTACAAGTGATGGAGATGTGTTCTGAGGATTGCAGTAAGACACGGTCATCAGAGTGTGCTTACACTCCAAGGCAGCTGTGCAACTCTAGGCCGTGTAATTTTATGGAACCACCATCATATGTATACTCTGGTGTTGACGAAATATTGTTCTGCTTAGGATGATTCTATGCAGCATGTTATCTTCTGGTTCTATATTTTTAAAACTTGTAATATTTGTAAATAAATGTCATGGGTCTCTTTCCTGTCCGTTACAATTATGAAAATGTGACTTAAAAGTTAATACTGGATTTGGCTCCAGTGACAGACTGTTAAAGCTACAGTTTTATGTTTTTCGTGTGTTTATTCCTTTTCTGTGTAGTTTAGCCAACTCAGTCCAGCAGAGCAAAATGTGGCTGCTCTTCTTGGAGTCTCCGAAAGCTTCATTGGGAAGAAGGCATCAGGGCAAGCCATCAGAAAGGTGTTGTGTCTCTCTGTTTTCTAATAATGAACTAAAGCCACTCAGCAAAATTAGTACAGCATCTCAATTACTGACCTGATCTTTTTGTCCCCAGAACTTAGGAGGTAGAGGTAGGCAGATTTCTGTGAGTTCAAGGCCAGTATGATCGACATAATGAGACCCTGCTCAAAAAAGAAACAAACAAACAAGCAAACAAAAAACCAGAAGTTCCCAGTTTAATCCTTGGAGTATATAAAGCATTTTAGAAGACTGAAGTGGATATGCTAAGATTCTTTTGTGTTGTATCTTATATTTTACTATTTTAAAGTTCAGTTACTATGACAAGAGGTAGTGGAGGTATGATCATCATACTTGATATACATATGAGCAATGTCATAATAAAATTTTGGATGACAAATAATACTCTAGTCAAAAAAAGAAAATGAATGTAGATCTTAACAGTAGATGCTGATTGTTTGGTATAAGCATATGTTAATTATAAAGCAAATAGTGTCATCCTCATGTATTGGAACAAAACAAAACTCAGTCTAATGACTACTCAATAGCTCTTTGGTAATCATCCAGTTTCTTAAGCTAGTGTCATTTTCCACTCAACGCGCGCACTGTGTCCTTTTTAAGTTTCATTGCTATTTCAATTTCTACTTAAACATAATTGTCTTACCTACCATTTCCTACATATATTTAAATATATGTAGACAGCTCTAATTTTATTTTAAATATTGACGACAGCTTTCATTTTCTTCTGTACTCAGAGCTGCAGCTGTCCCAACCACTCCCAAAAGTTGGCTTCTGACTTCTTCATGTGCACCATGCACACATGCACAAGTACTCATAGTTACACACACATGCACAGTACTCATAGTCACACATACACATACACAAGTACTCATAATCACACACATGGAATTAAAAAAATTTTAAGCTGTACCTACTTCTTTAAAATCTTCTTGTGTGTGGGGGGGGGGTATATGTGTACATTCGTGTGGTGTGAGTGTGCATGTGTGTGTGGTATGTGTGTACGTGTGTGTGTGTGTGTGTGTGTGTGTGTGTCTGCATTCTTGCCTCGGTACTTGTGAAGGTCTGGGAGCAGCTCTGTGGAGTTGGTTCTCTCCCTTTTATGAGGTTCACATCAATGAACCTCAGATGGTCAGGCCTGCACAGCAAGTGCTTCATCCACTGAGCCGTCTCACCAGCCCCTATCCCCTGTATCGACATTTCCTGCAAATGCTTGAAACTATCATTAAAGCATCTACCTGTCCATTTAATAATTCTATCCTTTCTCCTAGCTTTGGAATTACATTCTAAGCAAAGCCTCCATTAACACGGCAAATTAAAAAGCTATCTTTTCCTACCAAGTATTCAACATAGTTTTTCAGCTTAAGGCTTTTAAAAGGATGGTCCATTATATACAAGCTGAGTCTGTAATTCAGAATCCACTGATATATCTCAGTTGTTTGTTTGTTTGCTTGCTTGTTTGTTGAGACAGGGTTTCTCTGTGGTTTTAGAGGCTGTCCTGGAACTAGTTCTTGTAGACCAGGCTGGTGTCCAACTCACAGAGATCTGCCTGCCTCTGCCTCCCGAGTGCTGGGATTAAAGATATACACCACCACCACCCAGCTCTCAGTGTTTTTTTTTATATCATATTTATGTTTTTCTTTTCAGACTGGAACTTGCTATGTAACTCAGGTCTTGATCCTCCTACCTAAGGCTCAAAGTGCTAGGATTATTGGCACACCCTCTTGCCCAACCAATGTATTTTAGAACTACTTCTATTTCTTAAGTTAGCTTGATACTAGTGGGGTTTTTTTCCCCAAAAAAATTAGATCACTAGCATCACTGGCCAAAGTAGAATCACAGAATAGAAACTGTCACAGGAAACCTTTTCCTGTCTCTGTTTCTGCTTTGGGAACACTGATTGTCATGGCCATGTGAAAGCCATAGTGTTATTTCCTTGAGGTTTATAGTATAGGCAAGCTTACCATTTAGCTACCTGCGTTTGTCTAGCTTCCATTCACAGGAAAATGCAGTTTACAAGCAGCATAGTCAATATGGAGGTCTCCCTGCTCTCCGGCAGAACACTGGCCCCTGGGAGGCGAAAAGGCAGCTTAACTCCACATGACTCCATAGCCAGTACTGGTTCAAACTTTGAGTGTCTGACCATGAGTAGTTTATTTTAGGCATATTTAATTAAGGACAGCACAATTTGGTGAAAATATTCCTAATGATAAATAACTCAATCCTGGGTTCTGTAGACTGACTGAGAAAAAGCCGGCTCATTGATGAGTACAGAGGTCACCAGGCTATTAGGCATATCTGCTCCCAGCCTTCTGTGTGTGAAATAGGTTGTTTGTGCTTGAAGGGACAAGCCTGTGTATGGAACATTGCTGGTCCCTAGGGTTTCTGTGTAAGCACAGGGACCTCCAGGCCCGGCACTCCTGCCCCCCTCATGTTGATTTTCTAATGCCACTGTCAATGGGATGACCAGCCAGGCTGCATCTCAGTGACAGAGTACTCCCTTTTGCATATGTGAGGCCCCTGGCTCAGTTCCTAGCAGTTCAGGAGGCTGGATCTGAAGTCACAGTATGGGCCACACTGTCTTCCTGGGTAGGCTGCAAGAATTCTCTCATGTTCTCCTAGCTGTGTGGCTTGAGCGAGGCAGCTCTGTGGCGCACAGGCACATCTCTAACCTGAGTCTCGCTTCTGTGTCTCCTTGTACTTTGCCCCTTTTATAAGAATTCCAGTTGGTGAGTTCAAGGCCCATGGTGAATCCTGGTTGGCTTCATTTACAAGTCCTGAACTAACCGCTACATGTGAACTAACCTCATCTGCAAAGGTCCTCTTCCCAACTCATCACAGTCTCGGGTGCCCTGTGCTAGATACCTGAGCATTTCAGTCCACTACCCCCAACCCTGCAGAGGGAGTATAGTTTACACTGGAAGCAGCTTAATCTCCATATGACCAGAAAAATGGGAGAGTTGAACCAAATTACATACTGCTTTTGTGAACTCCTGTTCTTGCTAACCTGCAATATAGTTTCATTCACCTTACCTTTTGCCCGTCTCCCAACTGAGTTTATTTGATTTTGTCTTTCTAGAAGGTGGACAAGAACATTGTCAACAGGCTCTATCTGTCCTTTGTCCTGTATTCCTTGCTGAAAGAAACCAACGTTTGGAGTGTGTCTGAGAAGTTTAATATGCCCCGGGGACACATACAAAACCTGCTCACTGGGGCTGCCTCCTTCTCATCCTGTGTGTTACATTTCTGTGAGGTAATTCAGTTAAATGTGTGATACACACTTCTGGTCTCATTTTAACTCTTATTAAAACTCATAAAGCAGTTGTCAGTCGGTCTCTGCTCTCTGCTGACTATGTTACTTCAAAGCATGCAGATCATTTAAAGCATTCCTTTGTTTCTGCCTGTTTACAAGATTACTTGTGAACTTGTAAAGCTTTTGGAGTGTGAGCTTATGGAATGGTGCAAAAATTACTGAGTCAACTAAAACGCTTATGTCAGTGAAAGGTGCAGAGTTAGCCTGTTGCCAGGACCACTGCTAATAGTTCCAAGCTGTCTGTTACAACCTGTGGCTTCCATGTGGTGACTCATGAGTGATGGGTGGTTGGTAAGTTACCAGCTTCTGTGTGATTACTCGGTACCATGTTTCCTGGCTAGCCACAGTGATGTACACATTTGTTTCTAGTGCCTGGCAGGCAGACAGGGGTCTACATCAAATATAGGGGTTTTACATATACATATACTTAATATGTGAATATAAATAACTTTTTGGGTTTTTTTTTTTTTTTTTTTTTTTTTTTTGAGACAGGATTTCTCTATGTAGCTTTGGAGTCAGTCCTGGAACTCACTCTGCAGACCAGGATGGCCTCAAACTCACAGAGATCCACCTGTCTCGGCCTCCCAAGTGCTGGGATTAAAGGAGTGTGCCACCACTGCCCAGCAAATAAACCTTATTTACATATGCATTTGAAGTAGATTAGTTTAAAGCTAGAAAACTATAGAATTTCTTTAAGTAGCACAGCAAATCTTACCGGAGTTTGCTGCCTAAATAATGTTTAATTGACATATCAAACAAGCTGTTTTTTTTTTTAATTTTTTATTTGTTTTTATTTTATGTGCATTGATGTTTTGCCTGTATGTATGTCTGTGTGAGGGCATCCCGTCTCCAGGAACTGAAGTTACAGACAGTAGTGAGCTGCCATGTGGGTGCTGGGAATTGAACCCTGGTCCTTTGGAAGAGCAGCCAGTGCTCTTAATCACTGAGCCATCTCTCCAGCCCCAAACAAGCTGTTTTTGCCAGGTTTTAATTTCAGTTTTCTTTCTATCCTATCTTAAACATCTGTAGTCTGTGCATATGTATAATAATGAAGGGTGATTAGTGTGTTTTTAATCTTTAACTCTGTCCTGTTTGAGGAATCTGTGTAAGTGGTGTGAGACAGTACGGCAGCTGTATTAATGAAGATGGTTTTTAACTACAGTTAACAGTGAAAACTCGGTGACGTTTCTCCCGTGTAATAGGAAGGCCTGCACCAAGGCAGCTCAGCATTTGTTTATCTGTCCTACAGCATCTTTTCACTCTGTTAGTGTGGGGCTCCTTTCTCTGTGACTTCAGGATGATATCATGTGTTCTTACCATGATAGCCAAAGCCTAGAAAGGGACCTTTAAAACATTCCCAACATGTATTTAGTGTATGTATTTGCAGGATACCAAACTCAGCATTCAGTAGTGGGGAGGCAGTGCACATTGTATGTGCATGTGTGTGCATGTGTGGGTGCATATGTGTGTATTTGCCACAAGTGCATGTGGAGGTCAGAGGTCAATATCAGAAGTGTCTTTCTCAATTGCTTCTCCATCTTAGTTTCTGAAACAAGGTTTCTAGCTGAACCTGGAGCTCACCATTTTGGCTATACACCCACATAGACATGAGCTGCTTTGCTGCGGCTGTTCTGGGGTCACAGGTGACGTAGGCCACTGCACTTGGTTTTTATGTTGGTGCTGAGGCAGCTCATGCTTGTGCAGCCCTCACTCACTCAGCGCTGGCTCCCAGCCCTAAAGTGTATATCTTAAAAAGATAAGCTGATGTTCAGTGCTCTCTGTTCATATTTCCTGTTTTTATTAGCTTAGCACATGTTTCCTTGAATATTATTACACTGAGTTTGAATCTTCCCTAATTTAATCCTCCATGTCTGGGATAATTCCCAGAAGCAAGAACTGTGGTCACTTGACAAGCAAAGCCATACATCCACTCCTTATGCTTTTGATTAGAAATAACTTGGTTTTTATTTTTATTTTCAGTCTTCTTCCTCCCTCAAAAAAACGTGTTCATCAAGCCCCCAGGTGCCTACCGCGCCTCCTTGTCATTGCACTTAGGGTCATCCTCTCCCCTCGCAACACCCAAACTTCAGGAAATCTTAGCGGTAACTTGCTCAGTTTAACATTTGATGTGTCCTTGTCTTCCCAGGAGCTGGAGGAGTTTTGGGTTTACAAAGCCCTGTTGGTAGAACTTACCAAGAAACTGACGTACTGCGTGAAGGCGGAGCTAATCCCGCTCATGGAAGTGACCGGTGTCCTAGAGGTCAGCCTTGTCCTGGCTCCCTGCTCAGGTTCCTTCTGCTAATGGGAAAATTAGGTTTTACGGTTCTCTGAAGTGTCACTGCAAAATGGGTATTAGAGTCTGATTGCTCCAGGTTCTAAGAGAAACAGAACCTATAGAATCAATATATGTAAGCGAAGGGGCTTGATAGATTGTCTGACAATGCTGGGTCGTCCAGCGGTGGAAGTCTCCACACTGGAGAGGCTGCTCAGAACCTGAGACTGGATGCATGGCAAGCCGTTCTGGTCTGGTGTGGAAAGCTGGGGATTCCCAGAAGGCTGCGGGTCTTCGTGTCAGGTCGAGGTTGAAGAAGCTGGGTTCTCTTCAGTGAGGAATAGTGAGTGATAGCGGCAGCAACAGTGTAGACACACTGAGCAGCAGAGAGCAAAGATGGGCGGGCAGATCATCCCTGCTTCCTTACCTCAGGCCTTTTTCTGTCTGGTCTGCTGCCTTTTCCAGGGGAGGGGAATGGTCTTCCCCTTCCATCAGTCCTCCCAGAAGACCCCGTGCCGACCTCCTAGGTAAGAGACTCCAGTGATGCCAGACCACATGGCTAGAAGTCTTTTTTCTTGTTTTTCAATAAAATGATGCAATGGCCTGCCAGAAAGCCATTGCTAATTGAAAAACAAATACAATGAAAGATCCTGGTTATGAAAAAAATGAATGTATATCCTGCCTTCTGTCACTTTGTACCCAGTGCAGTGCTGTCTGGGTGGCAGGAAGGCCATTGACCTTCTCTAAGACAGTAGGCAGGAACTGTCCTCAGTGGGCTCTCGGCTTCCTGTATCAACGACCCTCAACGTCAGCCCCTCATGTCTTCAGCTTTTTGTTCTGTTTAGGAAGCACACCCGCTTGCCTACTTCTGTGGTCCCAAGTGGGTAGGTAGTAAGCGTATTTGAAGGGTACTAGGCTAGAACTTAAAGACATGAGGTGCCGCTCTCACAAGCACCTGACTGGTTTGCATTCCTAGTTTTAGCACATCAGCTGACTTCCACTGTGTGGCAAACTCCCCTGAGTCAGACCAGACTCCAAACGCATCCTCAAAATTCTGCCATATGCTGCTGGGTTATCTCTTCATATTTGCATTGTTATCTTTGTCTACTCCCATCTGTGGCATGTGGATTTTTTTATAATCCCAAATACTTAAAGTATTGATTTTTCTTTAATCCCTTAGGGTCGAGCAAAGCAGTTATACAGCGCAGGTTACAAAAGTGTAATGCACTTGGCCAATGCCAACCCAGAAGTGCTTGTGCGGACAATTGGCCATCTGTCCAGGCGCCAGGCCAAGCAGATTGTGTCCTCAGCTAAGGTGAGCAAGCTCTGAAAATATGCCGCAGCATCATGTGCTTATGTTGTAGGTATCAGAGCAAGTAGTCTGCATCGTGTAATAGTATTGTCAGGAAACTTGCTCAGGGTGGAGGGAAGGCTCAGAGGCTAGGGCACAAAGGCTGCCCCTCCAAAGGACTACAGGCTCCATTCCAGCACCCACGTGGCTCACTTATACTTTGTAGCTGTAGTTCTAGGGGATCTCTTGCCTCCTGATCTCTCAGGGCACCACATACATGGTGCACAGACATAGATGCATCAAGCACCCATACACATAAAGCAAAATCTAAATTTAAAAACAACAACAAACTCATGTAACCAGAATTTGTAGGTACAGATACTGTGCCTGCTGTTGACAGGGTTGCTGAGAAGAGGAGAGAGACACCATAAAAATTAACACCCTTTCAAGGGTTCCTTGAAACACAACAAGGGGACCTGGCAGTCCTGCAGCCTCCCACACCAGCCTCCTCACAGGTCATATGCTGTCCGCCCTCCCCCATCCCCTCCAGCATCCTCACAGGTCATATGCTGTCCGCCCTCCCCCATCCCCTCCAGCATCCTCACAGGTCATGCAGCCCGCCCCGCCACCCCAGCCTCCTCACAGGTCATATGCTGTCCGCCCTCCTCCCCACCTCCAGTCTCCTCACAAGTTATGCAAGCCCTGCCTACAGCCTCCTGACAGAAGTCCTTTCCTCAGCCCAGCAGCCAGTCTTCAGCTTGCAAACTCCTTCACTGGCCAGGAGCTTTCAGCCTCCAGAATCAGGTTCTTGTTGGTTTGGATACTTTTAGCATTACCAAAATCATCCCAGTATGTTGGGGTTAAATTTTACCTCTTCAAATGTCTGCCATTTCATCTGGCATACTGCCCTTCAGAGCCAGGCCTTTCTTTCTTTCTTTGTGTAGTTTTTCACATGTTTGAAGCAAGAGTGTCTTTTCTATATTATATTAAGTTCTTTAAGCCAGCCACTGTCTTCAGTTCCCTTTCAAGTCTGCCATTGTACTCGTGTTTGTGTGGGTGAAGCCATTACATAGCAATTTAGGATTATGTCGTCCTTGGTCACAATTGCATAAATTGCTCAGCTTTTTAAAACTCCATTGTTGCATTATTGTGCTGATTAGTCTTATGTCAACTTGACACACAAACTAGAGTTATCTGGCAGGAGGGACCCTCAACTGAGAAAATGTGTCCAGGATCCAGCTGTAACACGTTTTCTTAATTAGTGACTTTCAGCAGAGGGCCCAGTCCATTGTGGGTGATCTTCACCCTTCGCTGGTCATCCTGGATTCTGTAGAAAAGCACCCTGGCTCCTGCCTCCAAAATCCCTGTATTTGATTCCCTTCAATGATAAACAGTAATAGAAGTGTAAGCTGAGTAAACCCTGTCTTCGTTAGTGTTTCTATTGCAGAGACACCATGACCGCAACAACTCTTCAAAGGAAAACATTTCATTGGGGCTGGAGGGCTGGCGTACAGTTCAGAGCTTTAGTCTGTTATTGTGGTGGGAAGCAGGGCAGTGTGCAGGCAGACATGGTGCTGGAGAAGGAGCTCAGAGTTCTACTTCTTAATCTGCAGGCAGCAGAAGCAACTGTGTGCTACACGGGCCAAGGAGTCCTCAAAGCCCACCCCACAGTGACACTACTTCCTCCATCAAGGCCAAACCTCCCAGTAGTGCCACTCCCCCTTTCCTTTCAAACCACCACAAGCCTGTTCCTCCCTAAGTTGCTTTTTGGTCATGGCATTTTGTTATAGCAATAGAAGCAAGCCCTAACTGAGATAGTTATTGTCATTATGTGAAAGAGAATTGCTAAAAAATACATTTCTTGCTCACGTTTTTCAGTGGTGCTCACATATGAGCATTGCCTCATTTGATCTTTGCATCCATCCTGTAAGGGAGACAGTTTAGATGTTTACAGCTGCAGCTCCAAGACAGACTGTGTCCAGTAGACCAGGCGTTACTGGATGGGTAGGGACAGCCTGCAGTCATCACCTCTACAGCACCTAGCACACTCCCAGCTGATAGCACCTGTGCAACACGCTTGCAGGAATACATGACAAGGCCCAAAGAAATCAAGTGGTTTACACGAGGAAACAGTGAGTGGTAGGGGTCAGACTGTATTCCTAGGAGCCAGTGGTGTCTGCAGGGGCCATACTTCTGCCTTCAGCACTCAGCCATGCTCAGGACACGGCTCTGGTCTCAGCCCAACACCCAGTCCAGCTCTTGCCTCTCCCACTTTCCAGCCAGCTCATTCTACTTCCTTACAAACGTTTGAGGTTGGCAGTGTTCTGTGTCTCATGATACTGACATACAGATTTCTTATGGATTTTGTATTGTCACTGCTGATCTGTGTAGGGTTTGGGGGAGGTTTTTTGGGTTTTGTCATCATCATCATTGTTAGCATTGTTATTATTATTATTATCATTATTTTAAAGACAGGGTCTCACTGTGTAGCCCAGTCTGGCCTTGAACTAACCGATATTCTCAAGTGCTGGTATTAAAGACATGTGCCACCACTCTCAGTTTATGATCTGTGTAGGCTTTTTGTTTGTTTGTTTTGTTTTCTGAGGTTGAGTTTTTCTGTGTAGTCCTAACTGTCCTGGAACTCCCTTTATAGACTGGACTGAATTTGAACTCACAGGAATTTGCCTGCCTGTTTCCGGAGTGCTGGGATTAAAGGCGTGTGTCACTACCACCCAGAGATCTGTGTGGTTTTTAGAGAATATTATGGGACATTTATATGGTTACCATTACCTCAGATATTGGAAAGCCAGGCTTATATGCCTTTCCTAATTAGAGAGCATGCCTTACCTAATTAGAGAGCATTTTTTTTTTTTTCTTTTTCATTTCCGCTTTGTTTCTTAGGATTTTTCCCTTTATGAAGTTTTTGCTAAGCTTTTTTATTATAAACAGTATTACAAAGAAATTTCTTGCTCTCTAGACAAATCCCACCTGCAACTAATCCCAGCATTTTGCTTCTGATGTTTAGAAAACAGAAAGAAGCCACTGCTCATCAGTTGTTTATTGAAATCTTCTAAATGCCATTTTTGTTTTGTGTTTTGAGTCAATGACTTGGGCTGGATTTGGAACTAAGAGATCCCTCCTGCCTCTGCCTCCTGTGTGGGAACTAAAGGCAGGACAGCACACACCATATGCACTGTGCTTAAGGGTCCTTTCTTCATTGAACATTAACCATACTTCCAGACATGTCGGCATGCATATTCAGGGCCTTGAGGTGGGAAGATCACAAATTGGAGGCCAACCTAGACTACATAGTGAAATCCCATCTCAAAAACACGGGAAGGGGGTGGAGAGGTGGCTCAGTGGTTCCTCCAGGGAGGGGACCTGAGGTCCTATTTCCAGCACCCATATGGCCACCACAACCATCTGTAATGGCAGTTCCAGGGGATCCGGCAGCTCTTCTGGCCTCCAGGAACACATGGTATATGCATGGATATTCAAACAAAATACCCATACATGTTAAATAATTAGCTAAGTAATTAAATCAAAAAAATACAGGAGGGAAAAATGAGGAGAGGGAGGGGGATAGATCAGACTGTGTTCACTTTAGAAGCTTTCCTAGAAAAGTCTCCTTGTATGTAAATACAAGTTTCCAGAGCTAATTAAATATATATGTACATGATAACAGTTTCAAGAGGTAATTATATTTTACAAAATTCTCTGGAATTTTATAGACTATGAGTCTTTTGTGAAGCGAACCTTTGAGTGTAGGAAGAGCTCCATTGTCTTTGGTACACCGAACACTGTGATCAGCTAACACGGTTTTTAACAGAATTCCTCGGCTTCATTTACTAGAATCACCTGCACTTAAGTGGTTATTTTTCAGTCTCACTATTTTAGTTCTAATATTAGATACTGATGTGTCAGGCTCAGGTTTTTGGCAGACATAAAAATGTTGGCAACTGGGTTTTTATTGCAGATGCTGTTGCATGAAAAGGCAGAGGCTTTGCAAGGAGAAGTTGAAGAATTACTGAGGTTGCCTCCAGACCTCCCTGGACTGGGGGTTCCTAACACTGAAGAGACGTGAAACCGTGCTGGGAACACAGCTGTTTGATAGGGCATTGCCTGAGGCCCTGGGTGAAACCCTCAGTACCTCCAAGAAAGAAGAAGCTAAAGAGGTTATAGTCGGCTTGGTGGTGAACATTTGTTAACTCCAGCACTTGGGAGGTAGAAGCAGGAGATTGAATATTAAAAGTCATCTTCAACTACATCTAGAGCTGGAGGCCAGCCTGAGCTAGGAGTCCCTCTCAAAAAACAGAAAACCCACAAAGCTATCTTCAAATTTGACTTATTTATTATACATATATATTATTATTGAAGATTCTCTACAAAGCTATCTTCAAATTTGACTTATTTATTATACATATATATTATTTTTGAAGATTCTCTCTATAAATGAAATGGGTATTTTAGTTATACATTAAAGAGTGTGGATGAACTCTCAGAAGGGCCTCTGGATGACTGAGTCTACTATCACCTGTAAGTGCTGTACTGTCCCACAAATAACCCATCTTCTTCCCTGCCTTTGAATTGTAGCTCCCCCCTCCATGGACCCCCAGCCTAGCTTCCTGGCCACATCTTTCACTGTTTTCCTGCCTTTTCCCCAGTGTTGTGTGTCTGCTAAACACACACTGATGGTGAACTGTACCTCAGCCTTGTCTCTCGTTTCTGTCATCAAATGGGACCAAAGGTACCAGGACTTGCCTTGTCATTTCCACACCCTGTCTGTCCTAGCCAGTGCGTGTTATTAGCCCTATATGAAAATATTAGTGTGCATCCAGTAACAACTGAAAACATTCAAATCCTATCTATGAATTACTCCATATTCATCCATGTAAGGCTCACGGGGCATCCTCTAAGTATTATGGGATTGTTTTTCTCTTTTGCTACTACTTTAAGAATATCGACCTGCTTGCTGATCGCGTGTGTATGCCACACAGTGTCTACCACAACTCACAGAATAAGGATGTCTGTGGGGAAGAACCATATTAACAATTGGAAGAATTTATTTTCTAACTTTATAAAATTTATTTAAAAAAAAAAAACTTGCAAATAACTTTTTTAAAAAACCATACACCAAAATTGACTAGAAATAGTTCTTTCCAAGAATCTCTTTAAATACAACTTTTCTTTATCAGAATTGTAGTGAAAAATAACTAACCTAGGGATGCAGAGGGACTCGGGTTAAGGGCACCAGCGGCTTCTGCAGAGGGCTAGGCTTCAGTTCCAAATTCCCATGAGGCAGCTCAGGACCATTCATCAATCTGGTGTCCCCATCTTGCCCATGGAGATGGGCACTGCATATACATATGTGGTGCACAGACATACCTGCAGGCAAGACACCCATGCACATAAAATAAAAATAAACTTTAAAATCTGTTTCAACAGCTAAGCCCAGGACAAGGGAAGATGCAGCCCAGCAACGTTGCAAATACTGGACTGGTTTGGGTCAGCTCTGATCACCTAGTGACTTGCATGGAATGTTTTTTAGAGGGTTCGAAACCATATCCTGTACCCCTAGCATAGCAGATGGCAGCCTTGCGCTCACTGACACAGTACTTACTGTGCCAGTAACTGCTGCTCATGCAAAATAGCCAACAACGTCCCAGGACAGTAAGGCAGGTACTGCTGTTGTCCCCACCGCATGGGTGAGAAAAGGTTAAGGAACCTTTTCCAAGGCTTCAGACTGCTGATTGCTATACAGGAACCCGGATCCATCCATGTAGTCACAATGCTGTTCATGCACCTATTCTTGAAAGGACCGGTATCACACAAGACACCTCAAGATCAAGTGCTCAGCCCGAGAGGGACAAAGGGCAGGGAATAAGAGACAAAGACAGGAGATAGAGGATGGGGGAGAAGGGGAAGGGATATTTGTCCCCAAGGGACAAAGGACTGCCTCTGGATAGAGGGGAGACAGATATGGCCCATAAGCAAATGAAGTGGTTAATTTTAATTGTGCTTGTTAATTAGGTGAGCCAAAGGGGCTTTTCATCGTTGGACTTCAGTACTGTGATAGAAGTGACTAAATAAGGGAGCAGACCATGGTGGCAGCTTCAGGAATATAATCTAACAGTTCAGCAAGGTGGAGGGAGCCAGAGCCACACTCAAGCCTGCCAGAGCCCCTTCAGTTATCCTGGTGGCTCTGTCCCTGTTTTCCCTTCCAAGTGTTTCTTTCCCTTTGTTGTGTGACAAGACTTTTCCATATCAACTAAACACAGGTAGGGAGTCCACAGCAGACCAAAGTGCAGGTACCATTTGTACTGGCTGGTTTTGTGTTAGTTAACTTCACACAATCTAGAGTGGTTAAAGAGGAAGGAGCCTCAGCTGAGGAAATGCCACCATGAGATTCAGCTGTAGGGCATTTTCTTAATTAGTGATCAGTGAGGGGAAGGCCCAGCCCATGGTGGGTGGTGCCATCCCTGGGCTGTGGTCCTGGGTTCTCTAAGAAAGCAGGCTAAGCAAGCCAGGGGAGCAAGTCAATAAGCAGCTCCCTCCATGGCCTCTGCATTAACTCCTGCCTCCAGGTCCCTGCCCTGTGTGAGCTCCTGTTTTGACTTCCTACACTAATGGACTATAATCTGGAGGTGTAAGACAAATAAATCCTTTCCTCTCCAACTTGCTGTTTGGTCATGGTGTTTCATCACAGCAATAGAAACCCTAACTAAGATATAGCACCAAAGTCCCACTTGTTGAACCAATGAGTTTTACTGAGGTTATGGGAATGTGGGTGAAGGGTTGCTTACAAAAGAAGAAGTGACTCAAAGACAACTTCATCACCAAAGCCCAGCCCATCATAGATGACAGCTCACAAAGCTGGGGACCGGAAGCACACTGCACAGCCTGCAAGCTGTTCAACAGGTTGGAGAGTGTCCCAGGTGCTCCAGTTGATCTAAGCCTCTTCTAGGCAGTGGGCTGGTCTCAGAGTCTTCCTGGATGCTTCTTAGCTGGGCTTTATGGCTCACTCTGGGTGGGTGAAGCTTAGTGAATGTGTTCAGTTTCAGGGACTTCTGGAGCTGTCTTGAGTTGTTTGTCTTCTGTATTAAGGAGTTTTTCTGGGAGATGCAATGTTTCAGTCTCAGAGGAAACTGCTACCCAACAACCCTTGACTTTATCCCTAGCATTACATCCCATTATCCATGTTACATCTCTACATTACATTCAGCAAAATATGACATTCTGATGGCACATGCTGTTTATTATGGCCAAACAGGTTATAGAAGAACAGGAGGCTGGCCTGCTGGCTGCTTTGAACAGCTTCGGACAGGTGATCACCGTGGGCCAGTTCCTCTTCAGTTTTGTTACATCTAATTTAGTTTTCCCAAATAAGCTAGGTTCCAGTGTGCTAGCCAGTTAATAAGAGATTTATACCCAACGGTAGTAGCGCACACCTTTCATCCCATCACTCAGGAAGCAGAGGCAGATGGATCTTTGAGGCTGAAAGGACAGCCTGATCTACAGGGAGCATTTCAGGACAGCCAGGGCTACACAGACAAACCATGTTTTAGAAAAGGGGGTGGAGCTGGAGAGATGGTTCAGTGATTAAGGGCACAGATGGCTCTTCCAGAGGACACAAGCTGTACCCACAAGGCAGCTCACATCTGTCTGTAACTCCAAGATCTGACACCTTCACACAGACACGCATTCAGGCAAAACACCAATGCACATAAAGTTTTAAAAATAAATTAATTAAAAGGAAGAGAGAGAGAGAGAGATCTAGTCTGCTAACTTAAAATTAGAGGAGGGATAAGGTACAGGTGCCTTCACGGTGACTAGAATGTCTATCTACGGCCCAGAGCAGCGCCTCATCAGTGTTGTCCAGGCTGCAGCAGATGTCGTCATAGTGACCATAGTGTTTTCCAGTGCATCAAAGGACCTGGGTTGAAGGTGTGGCACTCAGGTGACTAAGGAGCTAATGGCAAGTTATGAGACCTTTTGGAGGTGATGCCTATTAGAAGTGAGGCAAGACAATGGCGATGTGTCCTTGTGGGGACATGAGTCCCTGACTCACTCCTACTGTGACATCCGGTACCACCAAATACTCAAAACCAAGGGAGCATGGGCTACACAGCTACAAGCTGAAAGAATCCTTTCCTTCCTGAGCTGATTTATTTCAGATATTTGTTACTGTAATGAAAATTGATAAATAGGGGCATTAGCCTGTAGGAATATTAAAAGTGTGAAGAGCCGGGTGTTGGTGGCACACACCTTCAATCCCAGAACTTGGGAGGCAGAGGCAGAAGCAGGCAGATCTCTGTGAGTTTGAGGCCAGCCTGGTCTACAGAGCGAGTTCCAGGACAGCCTTCAACGTTAAACACAGAAACCCCACCTGGAAAACAAAACAAAACAAACAACAAAAAGAATAGAAAAGTGTATCAATAGGGAACAGTAGACCCAGTTACATTTAAAAGTTAATAAGTGTGGTTTCACTTTTGGGTGATAGAAATCTAAATGTAACCTTAGCAAAAGGGAATGGATCCACTGACCGAAAGGAAGAGTATCATCGGTTCAGGACCCCAAGACCAAGTTCTCAGTACAAAGAAGGCTTCTTTGCCCTAGAGGGACAGAGGGCAGGGACTAAAAGAGAAAGACATGATAGAGGATATTTGTCCCTGAGGGACAAAGGACTGCCTCTGGATAGAGAGGAGACAGACATGGCACATAGGAAAACGGTGGTTTGTAAAGGTACAGGGAGAAACCTCATGTTAGGATGAGGTGTTTAATTTTGATTCGACATGTTAATTAGTTGAAGGGGCTTTTGATTGAAATTTTGACAGTTGGACCATAGTAGTCAGCCTCAGGAGGAGGAAGTGGCCAAATAAGGGAACAGACCTTGGTAGCTGGCTTCAGGAATAAAATCTAACAGTTTTTTTTTTTGCAAGGGAGAGCAAATGGGAAGGAGGGCAAGGCTTGCCTTCTGTGCTGCTTTCAGACCGAGTGATTAAGACACTGCCCTATAAGCGTTTGGAAGAAGTATACCCAAAGGGCAGTGTCTTAATTGCTCTTCTATTTCTGTGATAAAACACGATGACTAAGGAAATTTATAAAATAAAGTATTTAATTAGGCTTATGTTTTGAGGGGTCTAGAGTCCAAGAAGGTGGAATGAAGCCACAGCTGAGAGCTCATTCTCAATCTTTTTAGTGTACGTCGTCCAGGGCTGCCTAGTGAGTTCCAGGACAGTCAAGGTTCTGTGATGGTAAGAACCTGCCTTAACACAAAGCCAAAAAAAAAAAAAAAAAAAATCAAACACTTAATGCACCCAACATAACATCATAACATTTAAAAAGGCCCATTTAAAGCAAGG